TCATTAGATAAAAATTATAACAAAGGAAAAGGGCAAACATTGAGAAATTATTTGAAATGAATAAAAACAATATAGAAGGAGAAAAGAGTTTGATTTGTGATTGGTAGACTGACCCTTAAAGAAAACCATTTATTAATTTATTAACTTTAAAAGAGAACTATTCAATATTTATTAAAACTGTCAATTATGAAAAGCATTATAAAAATAAATTATTTATTTCTAATTTGATCAAATATGTAATTATGATGGTTAGACCTTCAAATATCATTCACGTCATTATAGATAATACACCAGTTTGTAGAGCAACAGACCTACATGTGAAGCAAACATATCCTCATATTTCTAGATACCATGTATTGTGCATATTATTAATATTATTCTAAATAATTATTGTGCAACTAAAAATGTTAAGTCAAATGAAATAACTTAAAACGAATGTCATTTGATCACATTGATTGCAGCTGATATAATTTTAATAAGAAATTTCATAATGAATTTATATGAGACTTTTTCTATTCAATAATTTTTCAAATTTGATGAAATTTGCAATAGCTAAAACTCATTTTGTCTCGGTTATAGTAATGTTGAGAATATTAAAATAAATCAAAAATGCAGTTCAATATATGATGATCAATAAAAAATGATCTTGTTATCGAGATGATAATATTAGAAAAACAAAGTGCGTCAAAGAACAGATGTTAGATAATTGATAGAGGAATGATATAAGTACATTTTAAATTTTATAGATCAAATTAATGAGATGTTAATAGTGACGGACACAGATAAGTTTTGTTTACATTTGACCTATGAGACGTTGGATTCTATATTAGCCAAAGTGAAAGAGATAATAAATAGATATGAAAAAAAATCACATAGTAAAGATCTAAGTTTTTAAAGTATTATCTACACTAATCTAAAATATAAGTGAATCAAAAGTACCACACATTTATATTGTTTGTTTCATACTCTACATCTAAGGTAAAATTCAACATATCTTTAATAATTAATTCTCAATTTGGTTGAATAATATTCTCAATTTGGTTGAATAATAATTGTATAATTTTATTTGTTTCTATTCTTTGAAGATATTCCAGTAAAAAATGGCTTTAAGAGGATCCTCAACGAGTTTCTCGACAAAATAATTAGAAATTTTAAATATGAAAAAGGCATATTTGAAATGTTATTTCTCAAATAAGGTGAGAAGAATGACTAATTTAAAGCTTACTAAATTCTTTGGTTATTTAGAAGACTTTGATGACCAAGAATCTCTGTGTGAGAATGAATACAAAAATATAATAGTTGATTCAATGAGCTTCAACACCTCTACTTCAAACAATCGACACAAAATATTTTGGTCAGGCTTCATTCTCCTCTTATTGTAAGAGAATTAGAGCACATACTCCTTCATTCAATTGATAAAGAGGAACAAAATTATTCCACAAATGGGTTGAATATTTAATCTATGTGCATACAAATTTTCATCTGCTATCAAGAAAGACTCCAAATTATATGAAGAGAGATAACAAGATTTGGGATGTTGCTGGAGATGGGTTTAACTCTCTTGATTATATGAAAATATTGGAGAATGCAAAATGTTTCTTTTGATGAGCTAGAATTGCAAGCAATGATATTTAAAGACAATGATATTAAAGGCCAAAGGCAAATCCCTAAAAGTTAATCTTGTAATTTCTTTTATTGAATAGTTGATGCTTCGTCTAATACTAGATAGTTTATGTTTATATTTTTTATGTTATAATAGACATTATATACTTAGTTTTTCATATTATAAGCTACAAATTAATTATAATATTGTTTAATTATTTATTTGTTATTCTTAAAATTATGTATTCATTATTTTCTTAATTTTGATGCATGATTTAAAAATTATAATGTCGTATCTGCGTGATACGTCTTATAGTTCAATAACTAATGAGAGTCGTATCGATGTTGTATCGTGTCTGTGTCGACATATCCATATATTTTAGAATAGTATAAATAATACTCTAGACATTTCAATCTTTATTATGTGACTTTCTTTCATATTTATATGTTATTTCTTTCATTTTAGCTAATATAAAATTCTACATCTCATAAATCAAATATAAATAAGACTTATCTATGTTTTTCACCCTTAGCATATTATTAATTAGAACAGTAAAATTTAAAATGTATTAAATATTATTCCACTATAAATTATCAAATATATTTTCTTTTACACATATTGTCTTTCCAATATTATCCTCTCAATAATAAGATTACTTCTTACTAATCATCATAGGTTGAAGTGTATTTTTTTTATTTGAATCTTCTCAACATTATTGTAACTGATGCAAAATAAATTTCAGCTACTGCAAGCTTTTTCAAATTTAAAAAATCATTGAACATAAAATCTCATAAAGTAATTCATTATAAAATTTCTTATTAAAATTTTGCAATCATTGTACTCCAATGGCATTCATTATAAGTGATTTTATTTGTCTCAGTATTTTTAGCTACACAAATATTTTTTAAATAAAGATTGAGACTGTAAACAACACATAGTGTCCAAAAAATATAATGATATATTTGCTTCACAAGTAGGTTTGTTGCTTCACAAATTGGTTCATTATCAATAATGATGTGAATGATATTTAAAAGTCTAATCATAATGATTACATCTTTGCTCAAATTATAAATAAAGAATTTCTCTTTAGACTGCTCTTCATAATTGATAACTTTAATAAACCTTAAATAATTATCTGTTAAAGTTATGAAATTGATAAAATAGTCTTCTTTGAGGGTTAATCCATCCATCAAAATCAACTAACTCTTTTCTCCTTTTATATTTCTTTGGTGGTTCAATAACATCTCAATGTTTGTCCTCTCCTTTTATAACTTTGATCTAATGATATTGTACCCTGATAATATGTAACATGCAATATTATTATTGTAGGTAAAAGTGGATGCATTCTTGTAATAAAGATTTTTTATAAGATTGAAAGAAATACTAACTGAATAAAATATTCTAATATTTCTCGATCTTGTTGTTCTCTCATATACAAATTAAATGTTTCTCTAAAGTACTATCTACAATAAAAAAAAATATCTTAAGTTCATATCCCTCCATTCTAAATGATTATTTAATGATAGTAACATCATCAGTTCAAGCAAAAAAAGAGAAATGATATGAAGCACGAATACTTGATAGTGATATCTTTTTATGAAGAGCTCTTTGAATCCTTTACTCAGCTTTACTGACTTTATTTTGCAATTCTGTCAACTATGAAGAAGTTATTTTTGATAAATTTTAATTATATGACCAATAAATTCTTAACAAATGAGTTTTAACTCTAGAGCATGATCCATTATAAGTAGCGTTACAGTAATTGTATTTGAATGCAATATTAGCATCACATTCATAATATTTTCCTAATTTTATTATATGACCCCACAAAAGTTCATTTTTTTTAATGTCGGGCTATGTTGAATCATCACCACTCTTAATTCCGTCACCATTAGAACTCATTATCCTAGTAATGAATCAAAGAATCGGCGTAAATAATAGGCTCAAATATTAATGCTCTAAATACAATACAAAATCTAAATAATCAAAAGCTTTAGATAATGATACAATTAGATTTTTAAAAATATGAGTGCAATAATAATCTAAGCAACTCTGGATGATTTAAATGAGAAATGAATATCAAACTAGTATTATATGGTTAGGAGGAAACACAACCCAAACCAAGTTAATATTAATTATTAAATAATGTAGATAAAATATGCTGAACAAAAATAACAAAATAAATCAGTCCCCATACAAGACCAATAACATAACTTCCCTCAAAAGTAATACACCAAACTCAAAAAATTAAGCATCAAGTATACTAAAATGAAATTTATGGAAGTCAATTCTCTCCCCATTTACATGCCTCAAAATACTTAAGATCTCATCATAATAAAACTAATAAATCAAAACAAAAAAATTATTTTATTCAATTCAGAACTCCCAATTTATATATCTGAGAATAAGTGCTTCTAATTTTAAAATCTGAGCTAATAGATATAATTGGTGCAAAAGTCAGCTCAATTTGATTGCATATTCATAAAATTCAAATCTTTCACAATATCATTTCCAACAATAATCAGTCATATCCAAAGGCTTTTTAATTTATTTGGAAATTCATATTTCACTGCATCATCCAATTGTCAAATTGAATTCCATGACTGAATGTTCCAAACCTCCTACTAAGGTCCAATAGATGGAGCAAGAATAGAATCAGGCAAGCCCCACGTGATCACAACTTCAGTATAGAAAATAATGCTAAAAATCACAAGGCAGGCCTATCCAACAGATGGAGGAAGAAAAACATCAGGCAGGTCTATCCAATGTGAAATCAATAAAAGCTTTCAGTGAAAATGCACATGCACTATAGATTTCATTCATTTCCTAAGGCTGATTTAGCTATTTAAATAATTGGCTTATTCATCAACTTGCCAAAAGTCACCTTTTACTGTTTAGGATTTACTATAAATAACGAGTAGGATTCAAATAAGCAAGAAAGGAAAGGCATTCTCACCTCAGAAATTTTTCTTGAGCAAGAAGAAGAACAAGCTAAACCCCTTCGCTGGAACTGGAGCCAAGCAGGAGTCGGTCTCGTTTTAGTTAATGCAAGAAAGGGGGAAATTTAAACATAGTTCTTGAGGGAGAACAAGTGAAGATAGCATGAGAGATAAGAAAAGGATGAAAACACCTGAAGAAATTTTCGGCTTTCGGCACTGCGGGAAACGGCGGCGGAGCAAAAATCGAAAACCTAAGGGGCTATTTGGATACCGGATTTATGCAGGATTTAAGCAGTATTTATGCTAAATCCTGCCAAACAGGATTTAGGGAACTGTTAAATCTCACAACGAGTTAAATCCTCCGTTTCCCTCTTTTTGCCGTAAATCCCGGATTTACTAATTCAGCGGATTGACGGGATTTGGCCAAAGAAGCGCGAGAAAGGAAGAAATATGGCTACCTTCGCAACGAGCAAGCTCCCGTCGTCGTCGTCGTTACTTCCGATCCAACAGAAGAACGGCGAGGAGGTGTGACTTCGGATCCCACAGTAAGGAACGTTGTCGAAGGATACGACGAAGTTACTTAGCGACTCGTTCAAAACTCCCTTTCACGCGAAGCTGGCGAAGACGAAGCGCATCGACAGCCGGAGAAGAGGAAACTGGAAAAGCAAACCCCAGCGAAGCTGCGTTTAAATCTTAGATTACATTGTCAAACGATTCCACGAGATTTAATAAGATTTATTACTTATATTGCCAAATAATTTTTTAGGATTTAACTTTAGCAGAATTTAATAAATTTCGATAGGATTTACTAAATCCTAAGTTAAATAATACTTGTTGCCAAACCGCCTCTAAGAGATTGTCTCACAAATCACACTTTCGCTCGAACCACGCAGCATAGCGAAGCGAAGGAGAAATCCAAACGACCTCCGCTTTCGAGCCGCTCGACGAGCTCATGGCTCAACCACCGTAGAGCTCAAGCTCAAACTTGAGCTTGATTATTTAACAACTACTGAAATTTACTCGAGCTCGATTGTTTCACAAGTACTGAATTTTGTTTGAGCTCTCGAAGTTCAATAGCTCAGCACATGAGCTCTATCGAGTCGAACTGCGAGATTCTTCATCATGCCACAAATATTCTTAAAGCATTAGGGAAATTTAATTTGTTAGATCATTAGCTATTGTAATAAGTTGATAAGAATTGGCAAATTGCTCAATGATGGGCATACTCTCTAATCCAATGTGTGTATAGCCTCCATAGACTCATCATGCCTGTCAATTGCACCAAGGCTCATTGTAAGCAAATAGAGGTTATGGGGCATTATGTAGCTATTTATTATGATGAGTACATATCATTATTAATCACAATAGACCAATTCTTTGTCAAGTTACTAGCCACATGGATGGCTCGTTTCTCTTCCTAAAGTGAGATATTTGCAAATGGGTGACCACCTAATGTCTTAGGAGAAGCATCTCTTATTGGCTCTTGTAATACCTTGCGAGAATTAAAAAGATTGTGAAGTGGTTGCTAGAGATTTAACACTCAATGCATAAGAGGGCATCACTCATTGGTGATATGTGTGCATATGGGTTCATCTTCATCATTGTTCTCTAGTATTTTGTCAACATAAGACTATGATGGCTATGTTATAATTCTACTAAGGCTTCGATTGGGATAGTTTTCTTACTGTTTTTTAAAACAACTTTCTATACAACAAAATTTAATTTTTTTATGCTAAAGGGTTATTTTAATAAGCATTAAAAAAGCCAAACCCAACGAAGCCTAAATTAGGGATTTGGGAGGGGTATCATCCTAGTAGGATGGTCTTCTAGTGCATTTTTTAAGGTAGTAACATAAGATGGGGTACCTGCTTCCCATCATGTGATGTCAATGAGAGTTACAAGTTTTTGTCAACTCTCTTAAGGACTCGCATTATGTGATGTCAATGACGAGTACAAACTTTAAGGGTTGGACACATGTTCCAAATTGTTTAACTCTAGCTAATAATCAAATAGGGGGTAGTTAAGTTCAATTGGCTTTATCATAGCTTTCTTATGTATCTTTCATTAAACATAGTTCATGAAGGTACAAAAAACCATTAAGGACTATGAACATTCATATAGTTAACAAATTTATCCCCCAAACATACCAAAAAATAATATAATTTTCTTTATATATTTCTTTTACTATTTTTTTTTATCATTTTTATTTTTTATATTCATGGTGTTGATATAAGATTTTATTTATTTCTTAATTTGCATTAAGTGCTCAACACCCTAAATCGTGGATGAGGGAAGAATTAACCCATCTTCAAATTAAGTTAATAGCAATAGAGTTTATTTTTGGTCTAGTTGAGGTGCCTTCACTTACAAACTAGTGTACTAACATGCGACATGCAAAACCCTTTTGTTAGGCCTGTCAAAATGGGCTAACGGGTTAGGTTTAAATACAGTTGACCTAAACCTAAAATATTTAATAAATGAGTCAAAAAGTTGGACTTGAACTCGACCCATTTTCTACCCAGATGCTTGAACAAGACCTAATAGCCCATTTTGATTATAAAATGTCAACTATAAGTTTTATGTTAATTGGTCAACAATAAGAATAGTATACCAATAAGTAAAAGAATTTAAGAAAAACAAATTAAACATGTCACTTTCGGGTCAAAATTTGATTTGTGGGTCAACTCGAATCCGACCTGCCAATTAAACTGGTCGAAATTCATAACACGAACTTGACCCATTTATTAAATGAGTCAACAAAAATCTAAATTTTTTTATTAAGGTTGGTAAGTCGGTCTATTTATTAACACCCTTATATTTTTGTGCTTATGTAGATTGGATGATGTCTGATATGTGTAACATAGACATGTTACCATATCTCATATCAAAGTAAGTAACACTTTAATTATCATTGAAATTATAATTTTATTTAGTTGGACTCCATTTAGCTTTTATTTCAAATTATTGGTGGCATAATTTTATAAAAATGCTATGTTTTAGCTAAACTAGAATCTTAGTCCAAGAATAAGTCAACAATACCCCATTGTTGGGACCCCATATTGCCAAGCCATCAAAGATTAAGTGAGTATAATGAGTCCTATTTGTGGATTCTAAGTGTGATACTTCATATTCCTATAGAAACTTTCAATCGATTTAATTTTCCTTGAATTTCCAAAATAGTGTTATAGACATGGTTTTGAAAATCGAACTAGATCGGTCAGTTCGACCCATTCAACTGTGAAACAGTCCTATGGCATGTTCGGTCCTTATGAAAAATCAATCTAGCACTGATTTGAACCGTTGGTTCAGCTGGCCAACAATTTTGCTTTGTGTTTGTTATACCTAAAAGGGTTAATTAGTAGTGCATAAGAAAAATATATGCACTGTATAAAGTAGGGATAAGCAAAATAATAATTTGATAATATTTGTAATCATCAAAATATAAGATAAGGCCCCCGGATTACAACATATTTTAGATACCATAAAAGTTGGATGTCTTAGGAGAGGACATTATGAGGGTTGTGAAAGGACATGGTGCACTATGAGGTAAAATGCAACAAGGAAAAGTACCCCTTCCTAGTATATTATAATGAGATATGCATTGTCACTAAAATAGTACGTGGGCTTATGAAGCCATTCTATATTTGGGAAAGACATTTGCTAAGTTTATTGGGGATAGAGTTCCAAGAATGATTTGTTGGAAGAGTACAAAGATGCTCACAAGAGAGGATTTTTGGTCATGGCTCAAGAATAAAGTGCAAGTATTAATTTTTTCTAGTTGAAGAATATAAAGAGTTGCTTAGGAAATATATACAAGTAATTACTATTTTTCCTTTCTAATTTTGTAGAGACTTATCCATTCTAAGATACTATATAAAGTTGATGAAGAGAACTTATATAAGTAGATTATATATACTACTACTCAACTTATCATAACCAATATTACAAAGAAGAAATCAAGCAACCATATTTCTGATGAGAGGGTAGGGGAGGTAGTGGATATACAATCGGCTATATAAGTCAATTCATCCATTCCTAAGAAGGAGAGATAAAAGAACATTTTTATCATCAATCTAGAGTTGAAAGATGGCCACATAATACCGAATAATTACCAAATAATATTAAAGAATGATCACATAAGGTTAGGACCAAAGTTGAATACTCTAATCAATCTTCTACATATATTTTTTGCATAGGGTGTTTATAAGAGGAGGGAAGTGGAGTGGAGAAATGAGGAGATGGAGTAGGATTTGGGGGATGAAATTGAGACAGTTTTTTAGCACTAAGGAGGATAATGTGGAGGAGCTAGGGGAAGAATCTGAGAAGGTTCCTCGCACTTAGAAGGAGGAGGAGGAAGAGGTGGTGGTGGTGGTGGTGGTGAGGAAGTGGATGTCATAAGCGATGTAACCCCCATATATTAGATATTGTATATAAGAGTAATGTAAAATTAATAAGGAAATATTCCGGACAAAATCAAGAGATATTTTATTGGTTATTTTGCAAATCCATTATGGACGATTTACAAGCTAATAAATGCATGCATCATTGATTTGGGCACATTTATACCTTCAAGGGTTGGATATTAGGTGTGGTTGACAACTTAGAGAAGTTAGGAATGGGCACTTGATAAGTTAAAAAAAATGTATCATTTAAATTATTTTTATTTTTATATAAATGTTGTTTAATTCAATCTTTTTGTGCTAGAAAGAAGTAATAAAACCTCATATTAAAGGAACACCACAATGACACAGACATATCTCCATAGCATTTAGTACATCCCCAGTGCCATAGTGCCTCCAGTTCAACACCGATGTGGTAGAGGATTGAATTTCATATAAGAGCAAGGCGTTGAGGTGCTAAGGAAGGAGCGCATAAAAGCCAAATCGTAACAGTGTCATGGAAGATAACAATTACATATAGTTGAATCGATGAACCAATACAATTAATGATGAACCATCACGTTGATTTAGTAGTGTCGTAGCACTATCTAGTCAAAATTGTGGTGTTGATTCAGTTATTTGCAACTATAGATAGAGAGTTTATTTCTCATATGGTATATGTCTCATGAAAGTGGTTGCTGCTATGGAGGGGGTTGGCCATATGTTTATTTTGTTTTAGTTTATGGAGAGTCTATAGAGAAGGGAGAAATGAGTGCAAAGGATTTGTAATCATGTTGTAAAGGATTTTTTTGGTGATTTATATCCTCACTTATCTCTTATACTTTTATTTTCTACATAATAATGAAGTATATTTTATTTGGTTTAATTTTAATGATTGACCACATTTTTTCTGTGGGCTTATGATACTTTAAAAATAATGTTTGCTTTAGATTAGATTTATAATTTCATGAGTTACTCAATATTATTTTTAAATTGTTCAAACATAATTTAATTTATGTAGAGTTCTTGTATGAACTTAAAATACAGTTTGATCTATTGCCTCAATAGAGGAGCAGAAGAGCAATTAGGGGATTTAAAACTTAACTTTGCCAAGCATAAATATATGATGGTTAGGGTTTTGGGATCTTGAAGAGATATTAGCGTTGTAGTTGAGAAAAATCTAAGCTAAACACTTCAACAAACACGACTGGGATGAGGAGTAATATAATTATGCACTGATTCATCAACATTAAGAAAGACATAAATATTGCAAAACATGAGTTTTGAAATAGCATAGGTTTAGAATAATTTAGATATATAATTTTCTTATTGAAATCATAGTTGTTAATTTTTAATAACTCACCTTTTTTATTCGACCGATGAGATAAATTAAATAGTTTGTACAAGCAGTACTAAAGTGACCTTAAGGTAATTCATATTATCATGGGAATGAAACTCTACTTGTTGTTTTATTACTTGGCATGACGCACATATTTCATAGAACAAGATTTACACTAGATATAACAAGTAATAAAAAAAGAAAATCTTGTCAAGTTTTGGCTAACCCAGTTTAGGAGAATTACAAATCTAGACCACTCAAAGAATTTGGAAATCTTATGGTTGAGGGTATTCACCAAAGCATCAATAAACCAAATATTAAAGCTAAGAATTTTGACCATTCTATCATCCAAATTATACAAAATTCTAAATTTAGGAGACCCTTTTAGAGGATATCAACATTAATATAGCTAGTTTCTTAGAGTTATGTGCTACATTCAAGTGTAATAGAGTCTCAGATGATATCATTAAACTTAGATTGTTTCCACATCATCAAGGAACAAGGTTAAGATGTGGTTGAATTCCTTACCCCCAAATTCAATCACCACATTTAATGACTTAGCTCACAAATTTTTAGGCAAGTATTTTCCCCCATCCAATACTACAAAACATAGGAATGATATTACCCCATTCACCTAACTAGATGGAAAATCAATATATAAACCTTGGGATAGATTCAGGGAATGTCTTAGAAAGATCCACTATATATGTGATTGATAGAGGCTCTTTAATGTCCAGCCCTTTAATAAAACATATGCTTTGATTGAAGAAATGACCACCAATAATATTAAATGGTTGTCTAAGAGAGTCAACCCTAGGATAATGGCTAGTGTATATGAATATAATGCTTTATTAATTTTGACTACGTACAAAAGTAGCTGCTATATTTAAAAGTTGGATAATATTGGAGTTAGTATACCCCAAAGCACATTATTGCCAGTAGAAGAGAGTATGTATGGAACATTCAGTGAGCTAGATACATAAGGAGTTGGATCATTAAATGCCATGAATCATAGAAAAAATAAGCCTTTTTCTAATACCTTCAACCCAGGTTGGCGAAATCACCTTAACTTTAATTTTAGTAATAATCATAATGGTGATATCAACTAGATATCTAGCCAACCCAACCAAGTAGGAAATTAGAACCCACATCCTCAGAACTATGAAAATCTAATACCTAATTATCCACCTGAATTTAATTCAAATAATAAAATTAAAGATAAAAGAGCCTTCTTTAGAATATATAGTTTTGCAAATGAGAGCCCAGGTATAAAGTCAAATTGTTGTAATAAGGAATATTGAAAATCATTTAAGGCAGTTAGCTAGCTCTTTGAATTGTAGACCTAAGGAATCTTACCTAACAATACATTGGTAAATCATAATGAAAAAGGGAAGGAATATTATTAAGTTATATAGTTGAGGATTGGAAGAGAGTTAATGGAAATGGTTAGGAAGGAGGGAAATCTTGCAAAAGAAATTCTTTTGGAAGCACCCATAACGCTCACCAAGCCTGAAGAATAACCTCAGCCCATTAGGGAAGTAAAAAAACATATTAGCATGATTATTGAGAGACTAATACTATCTTTTCCTTAGATGTTATTAAAGCAAAATTTAGATAAACAATTTTCTAGTTTTTTTAAGGTGTTTACAAAGGTAACAATTATATACTTTTTGCAGAAGCTCTATAGTAGATGCCAACCTATACTAAATTCATGAATAACATCTTAAGCAACAAGATAAAATTTGGAGACTTTGAACAATAGCCCTTATTGAGGAATGTAATGCAATAATCCAAAAGAAAATATCTTAGAAGCTTAAGGATCTAAGTAGTTTTACCATTTCTATGGCTATAGGAGATAAGTTTTATGGGAGAGTTCTATATAACTTTGGATCTAGCATAAATCTTATGCTCTTGTCCATCTTTATAATATCAGACATAGGAGGAGTCCAACCTACCATTGTTATTCTTTAGTTGAATGACATTTCATTCACTTTTATAAAGGGGGTAATAGAGGATGCATCAATAAAGGTAGATAAGTTTATTTTTCCTATAAATTTATTGTCTTATATATGGAAGAAGATAGGAAGATACCTATCATATTAGGTAGACCTTTCTTAACCACATGTAGGGCTATGATTGTTGTGCAAATGAGAGAATTAATAATTAGAGTTCAAGACTAAGAAGCCACCTTTAATATTTTGAAATATATGAAGTTTTCTACGAATCAATGTGAAGATTGTTATAGAGTGGATTTAGTTGAAGCTTGTGTGAAGGATGTTATGAATGAGTTGTTAAGTGATAATCACTTGGAGTTGTCATTATGTGAGGATGACTTAGGAGAGGTAGTTAAAGATTATGTTCATATGATTAGCTTAGAATGTTTAAAGAGAGATATACATCATCTCTAGGGAAGCCTTTAAAACCATATGTTGTAGAGGCACCTATTATTGAATTAAAAGCATCGTCTGTCCACTTAAAGTATGCCTTCTTAGGAGACGAGTCAACCTTATTTGTCATTATTTCTAAAGAGCTTGGAGAAGATCAAGAAGGTAAGTTAATTAGAGTTCTTATCACATATAAGAAAGCTTTTGGGTGATCTATTGCTGACATTCGAGGGATTTGCCAATTAGTATGTATGCATAGGATTATGTTAAAGGAAGCTTGTCAACATAAAGCTAACCTACAATGAAGGTTAAATCCAATTATGAAGGTAGTAATGAAAAGATCCTAAAATGGTTGGATGTATGTATCATTTATCATATTTTTTAGGGTGATTAGGTTGTCCCAATTCACTGTGAGTCAAAGAAAGGAAGTTTAATTGTAATCACTGATGAAAAGGATGAACCTATTCCGATTAAGACTGTGATAGGGTAGTGGATTTGCATAGAGTATAGGAAACTCAGGAAAGCCACAAGGAAGGATCTTCATTTTTCATTGCACTTTATTGATAGATGTTGAGCAAATTAGCCTATGTTCAATTTTTTTATAGATCAATATCAAATTATTTTTTGATGGAGTAGAATATAAATTTGATTGTATTCAAATAAATTTCATATGTTTTATAAATTTTAATAATAGCTCAATTATATTTAAAATTTATATTCAAAATTTATTGAAATCAATATTAATTCATGACTATAAATAGAGTCTTACACAAATGTTTCTCTAATTCCAACAAATTTATATTGCTATATATATCTCCTTTCTCCCCTTACTATCAACTATCCATGGGAGAGAAAAAAATACAAAAGCAAGGAAAAACCCTCTCTTGCCCCTAAAATCGCAGCAAAACCCCCACAACAGCTGAAGCCATGGTCATCCAGCTGCAACTCATTTCTGCGCCATCTCAATTCCACCATTCGAAAATCTCCATAACTCCCCAAAAAGCTCAAAATTTTCTTTCATTCACTCCATCGCTCAAACTCTGTCCTACTCTCCCCACATTTCGGGCCCGAATCCCTACCTTCAGCGGCAGCTTGAGAGCTGAAAGGCAAGGCAAAACCATGAAGAAACTCGGAGAAATCGAAACAGAAGCTGAAGAGGGACAGCTTGAGAATGAAGAAGGGCAAGGTGTCTCGAATGATCGAGAAAATGAAGATGCTGAGGAGGATGACGGAGCGGTTGATGAAGAGTTTTCTCATGCCAGTGCTTATCGAGCCAGACGTGACGAGAAGGATTACGACAGAGACCCCGAGCTCGCGGATATACTCGGCAGTTGCTTTGATGACCCCAAGAAAGCACAAGCTAAGGTTCTTTTTCTTATCAGCTCAATCTTAATTCTGGGCTTCTCTCGTTATACAAAGCTTTTGTTCATATGATTTGTTCAATTTGCGTGATTGAAGGTGGAAGATAGGATAAGGAGGAAGAGAAACAAGATATTGCATACCAAGACTGGATCGCCAACACCAATGAAAGTTATATTCAAAAAGTACGCTCACACCAGTCCTACAATTTGATATTATGTTCTTACCTTTCATAGTTTTTACCTCTTCCTATTTGAAAGAGTTCTTGAAGTAGAATTAAAGGATGGTAATAGGTTTATGTTTTATATTATTTTGCTAGCTTTCTTCGTTCATAAACTCTACAAACATGTAGACCACCCGCCTTAACCAAAATATTTACAATCTCAAACGTCTGCTTTGCTACATCCAAGTTGTTGCAGTCTTCATGCCTACTCATAAGCCATTTGGGCTAGTGATGCAACTGACTGCAAATCTACAATGGGTTAATGTGCCTTTCTCAGCTTCACTCTAATTTCATGGTGTGTTAAGAAACAAACCATAGTAGCTCTTCCTCTATGGAAAAAGAATACCGCACTTTCGCCATTACCACAATGGACATAATCAGGCTTTACTCATGCTTGAATTTGGCGCCTTTACTACAATCCAAGCCCTTCATTGTAACCACATCTCAGCAATGGTGCTGGTAAACAATTGAGTCTTTTATGCCCGGGCCAAGTAAATTGAAATTGATTACTATTTCTTTAAAACCAACCTCTTCATGATCATGGGCGGATCCAAATTCTTTTTTTAGGGTGAGCAAAAAAAATTTTTTTATGGGGGATGGACAAAGATGCTTAGGATTGATAAAATTAGGACAAAAAATATTTTTGAGATGGGACAAAATACCCAAAATACCAAAATATTCTATAATGGCTGAAAAGAATTTGAATTCACTTAATTATGATTTGTTAGACTTGCTGCGCAGTCAACTAGAAATTATATTCTGACATTTTTTTTTAATTCTTTCTTTAACAAGTTTCTTTTCGTTAAATTCTACTGTTTGTTAGATAGCGGTGCTAATCCTTAACTTCCCCCTTTCTTTGCTTTATCAGGTTTGATTTTTCAAACTCCTATATTTGGCTTGAATTCTACAATGCTCCATTGCCACAAGACGTGACATTGTTGTGCGATGTGAGTTGAACGATGGTTTTTTGATGCTTTAAACAAAAATACAAAATTTTCACTGAATGGTGACTTCCTTTTTTGTCAGACAATTCGAGCATGGTACATCATTGGCCGCCTTGGGGGCTGCAATTCTATGAACATGCAGGTCTTGTTTGTTGCATAAACATATCAAATATGAAATTGCTTTATTTTAGCCCATCTTTAAAATTTAACATTAAAAAAAAAACTTTGAAATTTGACATCATGAAACATTGAGCCGTTAAAATCATCTAAAAATGTATGGCACTTGTTATATACATGCGAGTATTACTATTTTAATTATAGGAACATGCTAAGTAAACTTCAGGAACATTGATACTGAGTCATCCAGGATTCTGATGTTTGCTGTGGTATTATGTGATGCGATGTCTTAGGAGCTATTAAATGATTATTTATCCTTTCTTATAGGGAAGTTTATCATTGCACCATTGCTATCAAGCCTATTGATGGAATCAAGGAATTTGAATCCTAATTCTTGTCAGTTACATCACATCTATGATAGGGAGAATGTTCATCAATCAGTAATAATGTTAAAGTTACATCAGCATGACATTCTAGGATACCTATTTATGAATTAAATTTCAATAAAAAAGCTAACAAACTAAATAAAAAATTACTGAAGTATCTTGACAAAAATAAAGGATGATGATTAACTTCAAATGACAAAATAATTTCATTACCGCAAAAAGATAATGAAATGAATTCAAATTCCTGTGGGCTTAAAAAATTCACACCTTGGCCTCTCTGTGCCCCTTTTTTTAACGGGGAGAGTTTTAACAACTTTAGGTTTTGGGATAAATTTTTCGGAAGACAGAGTATGTTTTATAGATAAGGCACTACCCAGAGATTTCGTTCTCATTTTACGAGAACTTTATGATTTGAGTTCTATTTTCCTATAGGCGTAAGCCCCTATGGTTAATTACCTCTCTTGATAATGAGAGAGAACTTTCTATTAAGGCTAATAGTTAAATAGGTCACAATAAGTACCTAATGTATAATAGTAACAATATTAGGATTTGAATTTGATTTTAAATTTTGGAGTTTATGACTTGAAATTTATCATCATATACTTAAAGCGGGTGATGGATGAATGATGATGGACTTGATCAAAATCCCATGGTTCCGTCATCTCGGGCTATTATTATTATTATAATTTATTTTATTTCTATGTATATATTTTTTTAGTGAAACGGGGGTAGCGAGGGAGAGAAAGAGATGGTGGAAGTGGAACCTCTCTTTCTAGAAATAGAAAGGGAGTAGTAGGCAGTGATAGGCTAGTTTTGTTTTTTAATTGTGGAAGGTGCAAGTGGTGGTTGTGAGGAGGTTGAGACTATATAGTGAGAATCTCTCTCTCCAATTTTAGAGAGAGAAATAGGGGTAAATTATTTTCTCTCTCTAAGTAGAGAGAGAAATGGAGTGTGAGTGAGAGGCATTTAGGGAAGATGACCTAGAGTGGGAAAATGAATTTTCTCTCTTTATTTAGAGAAATAATTTTCTCACTAGGTCTATAGAAAGAAGTTAGAATGGGATGTTGCTTGTTGGTGGAGGTGTAGGAGGTAAGAGGGATGGTTTTTTCATCAATGGGTTAGGATTATGTTTAGGGAAGAAGCTGAAGATGGAGAGGAGAAGAGAGAAAGAAGAGGGGAAGAGGAAGAAGAGGGGAAAAAGAAGAAGAGAAGAATAATAGAGGAAGGAGAAGAAGATGGAGTTTGACGGAGAAGGAGATGGAGAAGAAGAACATGAGAAAAGAGAGGAAGAGAAGAAGGGGAGGCCAGCGGTGGCATTGGGGGTCATGCGAACTGAGAGACTGAGATAGAGGGAGAATGGGGTTGCGTGAGTGTCATGAGGGGGTCAGTTAGGTATGAGGGTTTGAGTGAGGAGGGGATTTAGGATTTAGATTTTTTAGATTTAGGTAAAATGTTATATATTTTTTTTTTATTTCATATCTCTCCTTTTTAATTATTATTTGTAATCAATTTTAATTATAAAATTGACATGAATGTTTTTTTAATTAATCATACCTCAATTCTTCTGTCAGATCACCGTCGTTTGTGCACGTCAATGTCCCCTCGATTTACAAGTGCGAAACTTTAATTTTCGCCGATCAATAACCCTAACTAATAGTGGTTTCGATCTTAGCTACTCAGTTGCCCTGAACATGCCGACGCTATTCGTTTCACAAACGAAGGCCATTTTGACAATTTAGATTTTTGATCAACACACGTCGGGCAAGTTTCATGCGACATCACACTCTTTCACTTTTGACCGTATGCGGTCGACTCGATCTCGACACTAATATTGAGGTTAACAGGTAATTGGCGGTGTTTGCCAAAAAAAAATTAAGAGACTTCTTGATTCTCTCAGCACTCAACCCTCTCGTGTAGAGAATGAAGTCTTATTTATAGGTTTTGAGTTGGACATTTTGATAAATTTGACAAGAATTTAGTACACTGCATTGAGTGATCCATATATTCCATTGATAATAGATTATTTGTCTAGTTTTTTAGTGCCTTAATGATGCTAGAATCAAATGATCTTGAGTATATAGGATTCGTTTCGCCAAACTGCTTGATTTAACTTTAAGCACAGAAGATTTATAGACCGTTTGATCTTTCTATTAATGTTTAGAAGCTTTCAAATATGCTTCAACTGCTTGATTTGAGCTTATTTGAAGTCTGATCAAATCACTTGTGATGTCAATGAATTTATCACCTCAAGATATTTGGTTTGACTATAAGTTTGTTAAAATCAAAATTTGGAGGGCCCTTAATTTAATTATGAAAGTTTCATATTCGAATATTGCCTCATGATTTGTGTTGATCAATAAAATTTTGTGAAGACATATCAATGTTATTATGTGTTAATGGTCGTTAACCCTAATGGTGTATCTTAGGAAGATTTACATCATTCAGAATCTGGATTCTTATCTTTTGGCATCCATCTCCATCTCCATCTCCATCATAGAAAACAAAGAATCGTTAATGATAATCATGAGTATTTAAGAATAAAATACTTTAGTAGAAAAGTTAAAAAAAATGATTCTAAGAATAAATCTTAGAATTAAGTGTATTGTCAGAATGTCATGTGAATATTGATTGAAAGTCCTGAGCATTGACACAATATGTCAAACATGAGCCTAATATGCTTTATAGTAATATTATTTTAAGAATGAGGATAACAAATTGCTTTTATTAGAAGAGGATATTCAATCAAGATGGATGAGATATTTCGATAAGCTTTTTAATGAAGATTATGAGAATACAATTGATTTTAGCGACCATAGCATTATAAATGAAAATAGATCTTTTTTTTTTGTCATCGTATTAGTAAAATCGATGTTAGTAAGACTTTAAAAAAAAATGAAGTGTAAAAAAATTGTTGGACCTGATGATATTTCAATGGAGGTGTTGAAATACTTAAGAGATAAATGAATTTCTTGGCTTACATAAGTTTTCAATAATATTTTAAAAATTAAAAAAATGCCAGATGAGTGGAGGAGGAGTGTGTTGATTCATATTTTTAAGAATAAAGGTGATGCACAATAGCGTGCAAATTATAGAGGAATTAAGTTAAAGTGTCATGCATTAAAACTATGAGACAGTTATTGAGCATATGTTATGATATGATACTAAAGTTTCTTAAAATCAATTTAGATTCATGCCGGGTATGTCTACTATAGAAGCTATACATTTGTTAAGAGGCTTGATGGAGAAGTATAGAAAGAATAACGAGGATTTACATAGGATATTTATTGATTTAGAGAAAGCATGTGAGAAAGTTTCAATAGAAGTGCTCTGGAGACTTTAGAAAAGAAAGGAGTTAATGATGCTTATATTCATGCCATTTAGGATATGCCTATAGGAGCTATTACTTGTGTTCAAATAAAAGGTAGCTTGACCAAGTATTTCCTTATTTCAGTTGAAATATATCAAGGATTAGCTTTAATCCCATATCTTTTTTGCTTTAGTCATAACATGATGTACCTTGTTGTATACTTTTTGCAGATGAAATTCTTCTTATTGATAAGACTAGAGAGTGAGTTGATGAAAAATTTGAATTATGGAGGTGAACCTTAGAGTCTAAAGGTTTTCATTTGAGTAGATCTAAAACATAATACATGAAGTGTAATTTTAATAGTAATAGATCTAGTGGGATGATTGTGACTTTGGGCAATCAAATCATTAACAAGAATACATGTTTTAGTTATCTTGGGTCTATAGTTCAAAGTGATAGTGAGATAGATGGGGATATTGTTAGTAGAATTCTAGTTGGATGGTTGAAGTAGAGTAATGCGTCAGTCCTATTGTGTGATAGAAAAGTTTCCCTCAAACTTAATGGAAAATTCAATAAGATGGGGGTGAGACATGCAATGCTTTATGGTGCATAATATTGTCCATTAAAAGAGAAGCATAAAATTAAGTGTTGCAGAGATGATGATACTCAGGTGGATGAGTGACTTCACTATTTGAGACAGAATACAAAATGAGTATATACGTGAAAAGGTTGGAGTAGCTCCACTGGCAGACAATATTAGAGAGATTCACCCTAGATGGTTTGGACACAAAAGGACCATCTTCCGATGACCTGGTTAGTAGAGTGTAGATGTATTGGATTTGGCCTATGTTAAGACAGATAGAGGTAGACCTAAAAAAACTTGGCTAGAAAATATTAGAAATGACATTTTTTATTAAATTTAAATGAGAATTTGACTCTTAACAAAACACAATGGAGAAAAAGGCTTAATCTAGTCAACCCCACCTAGTGGGATAAAGGTTTGATGTTATTTTGTTGTTGTAGAAATATTGTTTTAAGGGGACCTGTTCTTAAGATGACCTGCACTTTTCAATTTCTTTTACGATTTGCACTCAAGTTTGATTTTACCCTAATTTAACAATTGGCTAACATGAATACAACTCTAGTTTCTGGTTGGGATGGCAAAGAATATTCACCTTAGTGTATTATCTTGTGTCAATAAAAATGTGGAAAATCTACATTTAAGATTATTTTCATATAGTAGTTTAGATGCTTAATTGCATGAATTTGCTTCTTAATTTCATATATTTTTATTATGGTCTATAAAAACATGCCTGCGTTCTATATTTCTATTAAGGTTACTAATGCTTCCTTGAAAACTTTGGAAAGGTCAGTTTGCTTGAAAGCTTAGACGAGTCCTTCCCGGACTTTGATTTGCCGGTGTAATATATTGACTGACTGACAAATTGTTAATACTGACTTTTGACAATTAGGAATTAGAGCCTGGATCATTATTAACTATGTCCTCTTTGTAAAGCTGTCCTTACATCCTTAGAAAGTGATAATTTTGTCTTTTTTGATCTATTTAGTTATCTCAGTCTACCATGGACAGTAAAAGACCAAGATATGATGCTATTATGGGAGCAAATGTGACGCCAACTACATTTTACAACATTGGTGACCTTGAGTTGCAAGATAACCTTGCACGCATTTGGTAGCTATCATTTTATATAGCTATAATGCATTTTTTGCGCTTAAAGTTTGACCTTCAGATTCTAATATGCAAGCTGATGTTATGACAGGGTAGACATTGGAACAAATGAACCATTGCTTCTAGATGTTTTGGTGAATGCGCTATCTTGCATAAGTTCAGAGTAAAAACCATACTCATTTTCTTTGTTTAATGCTTATTATAAGCACGCAAATTAGATGCTCAAAATTTTCATTTTGATTTCTCAGCATTTATTTTTTAGTGTTTTGAAATTGCAAAACAATATGAAGTTACTAAGATCTTTTTTTTTTCTATGCGCAGCACAGCACAAAATAAAAAAATTCATTTCAAAGGTTTTTTTTTCAATCTTGCGCTATTCGAGTGGCATAAACTATTTTTTAGTTTCTCTCATAAGTTATTGGAGAAGCACGATTGATGAATTGACCTGGTAGTATTTTTTGGGAAATTTACATGCATACCACTTTATTCCATCCAATTTATATATTTAACACCAAAAATTTAATATTATATACATACCACCCTATATTATTTAAATATCAAATATACCACTCATATTTCCTTCCTACCACTCATATGTTTCATTTCTACCACTCATATTTGATATGAAATGAACTATGATGGTATGTATGTAATATTAAAATTTTAAATGTTAAATATATAAATAGAGTAATATAGGATGGTATGTATGTAAATCTGCCTTTTTTTTTTAATTGACTCCGTGAGAACTGATGTTTTAATCTTTTCTTCTCATTTCTACAAAAAATTGGTCAATGAATCCATGTAGAAAATTCATTTGAGCAGAAAAAAACGAACAATAAAGTTTCTGAAAGATCCATTAGATGCTGCAACATTAGAATTTTGATGAGGGAAACATCGTAAAAACGCACAGTAGCTTTCTTTGGTGATTACTGTAGGGATGATGGGGGAAAGACGTGGGAGGGTGGAGGAAAGTGCTGCAGTGAGGGGCTAGTGTATCATAAGTGTTAGTGCCAGATGCTTGGCAAGCTATTTATTTAAGCGTCCACTCAAATATTAATGTACCGGACCAGAGATATTTCTCTAGGAGGCAACGAATCATGCATGCCATGAGCAAGAAAAAACCAAAACGCTTTACAGTAGTGCAACACAGCGAGGCTGCAATTTGTCTTGCTCTGTTTCAGGAGGGCACACTATTTTGTGTTTAAGAACACAAATTGTGGATCACTTGTTTATATTTTTCCCCACTAGAAATTCAAGGCAGACATTACTCTTTTAAGCTTACTAAGAAGAAGTCCTTGTGCTAATTATTCAATCCATACCACTTGAGTGAATTTACTTTCATACTTCTTAAAATTTTGTGGACTTGTTTGTTTCCTTTCGAGACTAAACCAGTTAAAGGCATACTATAATCACTTCTCTCTTAAATTTGTTTAGTGCTAGCCTTATTTGGATTCATGCTGGGTAGGTCTACTATGGAAGCCATACATTTATTGAGAGGTTTGATGGAGAAATATAGAGAGAATAAGGAGGATCTACATATGATATTTATTGATTTAGAGAAAGCATATGATAAAGTTCCAAGAGCAATGCTATGGAGAGTTCTTGAAAAGAAAGGAGTTAATAATGCTTATATTCAAATCATTAAAGATATGTATGCAGGAGCTATTACTTGTGTTCAAACACAAGGTGGTTTGACCGAGTATTTTCCTATTTCGGTTGAATTACATCAAGTGCTAGCCTTATTTCACTCATATATTTGTTTAGTGGCAGCCATGTCTATTGTTGAATATGCGAAATAGCAATAATTTAAAAGGAAAATATAAGTGCCTTGTAAAGAACATTATTACCACCAAACCAAAACAACTTATGCAACTTTAAATGCTTGCACGATACTGTGCTAATGAATTATTTAATGTAATGAGAACATGCAAGGACATCTGGACTTTAATGCGTGGTTCTACGTTTTTGAAAACAGGGTAATATAAATATACATTAATAGGTTAACTTAATTTTTAAGAAGGTTAGCATACCATCTTGTTGACAGCCAACATAAAACTTATCGAATAATCATGACAAGGTTGGAGTAGCGCTAGTGGAAGATAAGATTAGAGAGAGTCACCTTAGGTGGTTTGGTAACATAAAATGGCGGCCTTCCGATGACCCAGTTAGGAAAGTAGAGGTATTAGATTTGACTTACCTTAAGAAAGGTAGATGTAGACCTAAAAAGACTTGGTTAGAAAATATTAGGAATGATCTTTCTTTATTAGATTTAAACGAGAATTTGACTTTTAATGGGACACAATGGAGAAAAAAGATTCATGTAGTCAACCCCACGTGGTGGAACAAAGGCTTGATGTTGTTGTTGTTGTTGTTAGCACACCATCTTGAAGTAGCTTGATGGTGATTATGCATGATATTAAATTATTTTACTTTTTGACCCTTCTTATCTTAGAGCATCAGAGGCCAAAATCAAGGACTGGTTTGGCTATCAATGTTTAACCTACACCAGAAATTCAAAAATGATACTAGATTTTTGTAATGCAAAAAAACGTTTCTTTAAAACCTTGACTGCTTACTGCTAAACTACATGAACTTATTTCTTTTTTGCTCATTTTATATTTAGGCTTCATTTGGAACGACTTTCTCATTACTTTCTAAAGCAGCTCATTAGTAAAAATATTTTGAATTAGAAGTTTTTATACTAAAAGCTGTTTTACATAGTATTAAAAAAATCGTCCCAAACGAAGCCTTAATCACAATGGCTTTCATCTTTTTTATTGACACACTTATCTTTGCCTTCTACCAGCTATGTAGGCATTAAAGAGGTTGTATTTGGGGGTTCTGAATTTCAGAATTGGAAGGAAAATCTGGGTTCAGAATATGCAGGTTGCAGTACTCACAAGATTTGATCATGTCATATGCAACTAAGGTAAATTTTTAGCTAAAAAAAGCAGGCAATTGCACTTGAAATGAAACTATGTTGATAGTTGCGTTACGGTAGATTATTCTTCTTAATTACCTTCGAATTTTAATAACGTTATCCTTCATTCTTATGATAATTGGGCAGTTATCATTTCTTCTAAGGCATTGTTCATAGCTGTATAAATAGTATTATTGTAATTCCTGTAGCATGTAGTATTCTTTTCTTTAATCTTGCTGACTTTAAGATTCATGGTGTCAAGTAGTGGCTGTCATGAACTGCAAGATGGAGGGGCTTGATGAATCCAATGTAAAGGTACTTTTCAGGCCTTAGACTGAGATTTTATAATTAAATTGTTTTAAAATAAATGTTCATTATGTGTGTAGTGGAATTGTTATTTATTTAGTATATCACCCTTGGGGGTATTTGGGATGACTAAGTAATTAAAAAATTATAATGTGCGGATGTCGAATGTCATTCGGAGACCAATCAGAATGCGTCACGTCACCCTTTCGCTCGGTATCGCGGCTCGGTACTGCTAACGTGGTTGTGGTTGCACCTGATTCGCCTCCGGACGTAGAGCTGCTTCCGGCGTCCGCACAGAATAATTTCTCCAAGCAAGCAATGAGGGTATAATTGAGTATGAACATATTTTAATCTTTATATATATATATACCAGATGGAGTGTTAAAGCACAAATGCCAATAAAAAATGAGTTGGTAAGTTATCACCTCCTTTTTATGAATATTTATAGCTAATTTATGTTTAATATAGATGTATGTTCATTATAGATGATTTTAAAAATAGTTTGAAGACTAAGACTTTGTTTGGGACGGCTTTCTTACTGTCTTAAAGCAGTTTTTAAATATAAAAATTTTAATTTTTAAACTAAAAAGCTGTTTTAAGAAGCAATAATAAAGTCATACCAAATGAAGTCTAATTTGAAGCCACATCGGTAATTGAAATACAAAGTTTGTAAAGATCAAATATTTGTAGGGCAAGTGTGAGCTAAGATTGAATGCTGAGGCCAAATAAATGATAAACTTGGTGGACCAATTAGTAGGGTGTGTGGCTAAACTGGTGAGCTAGTTGAGACAGGCAAAAATATGCTAGGGAGCAAAGGGAGTTAAGGCCTCAATTGCAGCGAAGAAGAAGATTCTTGAAGTGAAGAAGGAGGATTTTGAAGAGAAGTGGAAGTTACAAGATCAGAGAGGCCATTATATTAGAAGCTAAGTTCAGTTAAGGAAGTTGTGGAAGATTTTAAGAACTCTTTGATCTATTGTGGAATCATATTTAAGAAACTCGTGATAATATATTTATAGAGAAAAGAATCAAAATAATATATTGAATGATCATTTTGGTATTTCAAAAATTTTAAATGGAATAATTTTGATTCCAACAACTAAAATAATAGAAGTTGGATTTAATGGTATTAAAATTAAAGGTATTTTAGTAAATTTTTAATTAAATTATTTCAATAATAGTATTTTTACTTATAATTTTAATTAAAATTTATATATAATAACTATTTTAATTAAAAAAATATTAATAACTTTAACACCATTAAAATCAACATTTATTATTTTGAAAGTTGGGATCAAAATGATCAAATTTTAATGAGTTGAGAGATCAAAATAATTCTTTAAAATAGTTGTGGATCATTTTGATCATTCGTAAAGAATTTGAAAACTATTTATGTATTTTTCTCCATATTTATAGTTAAGGTGAGGACCTCCAGTTCTAGTGGCTTGAAAAAGGTTTTACATTTGAGGATTTCTCCCCATACATAGAAGATGATGATGAAAGTAAGTTGAAAAAAACATTCTATAGTGATTATAAGCAATATATTGAAATTATATAATTACTTTGTTGTAAAAGAGCATCTCTTTTCAGGTGTTATTTTTCCATTGAATGCATGTTCATTTTTTTTTTTAAATGTCTTAAGGGCATCTCCAACCAAAAATCTCATTTTTCACTCCAAAATGCAGTGAAACCAAAAAAACGCCGTGATTCATCTCCAATCCAACGTCATTTTGCCTCCTAAAACCGTCGTTCTCTTCATTCGTGCCTTTGTCCCAAAGTTTGGTAGAGATAAAAGAATGACGCAGATGAACAGTGCAACGCCAATATTGGCGTCGCACTTTTCATCCGTGATCAAATGACGTCAAAAATGACGATCGGTTGGAGCAAAGCAAGAACGGCAAATAAGTGTTTGTCGTTCCATTGGAGTTGCCATAATGTGTCAATGTATAGAGTTCATTGTCAAATATTAATATGGTTGTTGTATTTGAGTGGTAGATTGAAATCCTCCTATCTTTTTCTTTTTTCTTTTTTAATTTTGAATTTTTTATAATTTCAAGCTATATTTAAAAAAAAATACAAGTTATGCCTGCAACTTTTGCCAAATGCTGAAGAAAGAAAATATTGAGGCACCGAAAGTTAAAAAAAGATGAAAGTAGAAGTTATTATTCTAAAAGAATGAGATTATATTAATATTATGATATAATTTATTAGGAAAGGAAAAGTAAAGCCGCAAACTATTTGCATGTTAAGAATCAATAAGAATACTTTTAAATATTTTGATGTTTTAAGTTTGAGGAAGTATTTTTCTTCATAATCTTTCAACGTGAACTTTTTTGGCTTGATAATAATTTCAATCACATAAAGGCCTTCCCAAAAAGGTGAGAATTTGCTGTGTAGGGGTTCATTTCCAGGCGAATTATTACGTCAGGTCACCGGACGTCCGGACATCCAATCCAGATGCTCCACGTCATCAAAATTTTAATAATAGAATGGAGCATTTACATGCATAAAACTTAAAATTATCTCATTTTCATATTTAACATTTTCATCATAGAATATCATGCTAAACGAAACTCTTGATGACAAATAGGAAGCTATGATGGCGGAACGTGAAAGAAGAGATGAGGAAGTCACGATGGGGCCTCATTGGGAAGAGTTGCAATGGAATATGACTATGAAATGTAGATTCGTTGGACTAGCCGTGTGCGTGCAAATGAAGGGAAGTGGTATCTTGTCGGCGAAAGGTGATGAGATTGGTGGCATGTAAAAATGCAAGTAGTTCGATAGGCGAACGAGAAGAATTGCAATGGAATCTCACTATGAAATGTGGACTCACTGGGTTTGTCATGTGTATGTGCAAATGAAGGGAGGTGTTATCTTGTCGGCGAAAAGTGATGAGATTGGTGGCATGTCAGAATGCAAGTAGTTCAATAGCTTGGTATATTACATTTGGGAAGAACGACATGACCGAAGATGTGCTAAAGACAAGTTGTATGATGATGGGATTGTAATTGAGAAGGTGTGTATGATATTATTTTCTTATGTTATTTAAAATTTTGAATATTATGTGAGCAAACAAATAAATTTATATATTAAATATATAAATTAATTAATTTTGAGTGCTATTCATGTAAATCTCCTATGACCAAAGTTCTCTGACCATGACTCCCTCTTCTCCCCAAGATTTTCATCATGTTCAATCCGGCCTTGAAACTATGGCCGCCATGATGAAGATTGGAGAAAAATCACAGAGAATTTTCAAAAGAAATAAAAAACTAGTTTTTTTTCCTTAATTGGAGACTCATTCTCTCTATTCTTTCACCAAATTAAAAATCTTTCCATCAATAATTCTCACAAAGAAACCAAAATCAGCTTTACGAATCATCTCTCTACCAATCACAGCAGACATGAAAGCGTTATTTCCGAGAAGGGGAAGTTGCGGTGGGATCGACGGCGGCGGATGCATCATCATCTCTAGAAGAGGAAGAGGAAGAGCGGCGGCGGGAGGTGGAGAGGCCGGAAAAGGTACGGCTGAGCTGGCGGGCGTAGCGGGCGACGGCGCGGGCCCACCGTCGGAGCTCGTTCTTCAGTTTTTCTGGGTCTAGCTCTCGAATCGGCCGGTCCAGTTTCAGGTCCAGGCCGGTCAAGCATCGATCGTATCGAGCCTTCTTTCCTTTATCCTCTTTCTCTTCGGCTTCTTCCTCTCTTGAACGGCTCAAAGGTTTCTTTCCCTCTTCCATCCCTCTCTTTCTTTCTCTCTCTAGAACTTTATTATCTCTCTCTCTATAGAACCTTCCTTATGAAGGTTACATAAGACTCAATGATATAGTTTGTATTTGGAGGGTGAGATTAATAATTAAAAAAATATGAATTTTGTTAAAAAATACCACCACCACCAACAACATAGTCGTTGTCAGGTCCAGAGTCTTGAAAGAGAAGAGTTACATTAGATGATCGACTACCAGTATAAAATTTATCGAATAATCATGACATGAATTATTTATTATATTAAAGATATTAGTAAAATTATTTATTATTATATCATTATTAGTATTATAAAAAATTATGTTAAAAAAATTTATTATAAATTATATTATGATATATTTAAAAATTATTAAACTTTGTTCATATGTTGAGATTATTTTATTGCATCAATTTTAAATTAAATGTAATTATTTTTAAATTTAATTATATATTTTATTTTTTAATACAACAAAGAGTCGAATTAATCCTCAAATTATATTTTTTCTAAAGGATCAAAATAATTCCAAACTATATAGAAATATCATTTTGATATTTTCTCTTTAAATAATCTTTCGTGAAATCATTTAGATGCCTAATTAAAAAGTCAAAAGACATGAAAATTTTTAAATAGTCAGATTATTTTACTCTTTCATAAAAAATCAATGAATTATTTTGATAACTTATCCCTTTTTTAATATCATTTTATTTAAATATTTATTACCCTTAAACTAAAATTAAATCAATGGTAGCTGAGGTAAATATTTGCCAAGTCAACAAGTTGATCGGGTCCACTGCAATAGGGTGGTGTGATGGACCCACCTACATGCCCAAACAAGCTCCAATTGGTGATTCCAAAGATAAGTAAGATTAGTGGGTCCCATTGCATCCATCAAAAATCAATTTAAAGCCAAATGAAATTAATTTTGAATGAGATATTTTTAGAAGAAATCAAAGTACCATCAATTTCTCATAAATTGCTAAAAAGTTAAAAATCATTCAAATAAAAGAACTAATATAACTCTCATAAAAAGGTATAAATATTTTCAAATTTTTTTATGAGTTCATAGTTAATAATTATAATGATAGTTTATAATATTGTTCGCAAGTCATTATGATATTGCATTTTGATAGTTCATAGAAAAATGAAAGATATTAGATAATTAATATATGATTAACATACTCTTAAATATAATGTCTTAACCAATAATATTAAGTTGAATTACATAATAAATTTACACTTCTCATTTGAGACAATTTTCTTATTAATTTCAAAAATAATTTCTAATACAAAAGTTTATGATTTAAAAATTTTAATAGAAATTTACTTTAAAAAACAATAACAAACCCATCTCAAATAAAAACTTATATTTCATTTGGAACAACTTTATTGCTACTTTCTATAACAGCTTTCTACTATAAAAAAAATTAATTCAAAAATACTTTGCACTAAAATTTTACTTTAGAAAGCAAAATCAAAATTGTCACAAAGGATTAATTATTCTGTACAGACAACTGACCGTCCAGAGACAAATCAAAATGCGCCACATCACCCAATACATAACCATGATATAGCGAAAAATAAGATAATGCATTTTGATTCGCCTCCAAATGACATCCACATCCGTATAAATAATTCATCCAAAGAAAGCTTTAATGATTATTAGGTAGGTAGGTTGATGAGATTGTTATTATGTTATTAGTGGTTCTTTAAAGTTTATGCTTTAAATAAGACCACTTGAAGAGAATTAGAACATGCAAGTGAACATAGAAGACAATTTGTAGTTCTTTTAAGTTTCTTTTTATGCTTTAAATAAGACTACTTGAAGAGAATTATATCATGCAAGGGAATGGTATCTTTAAAAAATACAAAATGGTAATAAATATAATATAAAAATAAGCTAAGCATACCATATTTTCTCAGAATAATTAATTATTAGCTTCTAAATATTAATCATACATAAAAAAAATCTAATAAATAATTTAGCTTAACATCAAAATCCTAATACAACATTGATAATAGTTAATTAAAGACTACATATCCTTCAGTTTCTCCTTTTTTTCTTTGAATTTGATCTCTCTGCATTATTTTCTTTCCTCTTTTTCTTAGCTGCTTTGTGTACTCCATTCTCCAGCTTTAACTTGCTAGATTTTACACTAACAAGTCCACTGGATGGAACCTTACCAGCTCCACTCTGAAGTGCTTTTTCAAAATCACTTTCTCTGTCTACAATGGCGTATCTCTGTAGTAGCTCTGGCTTTAAGATGCCTTCGTTATCAGCTTTCATATTTTCCTGAGAGGTAAAAGTAGATTTAAGCTAAAACAAACATAGGAAAACATGTTAAGAAAAATTATTAAAATAAAAATGAATGAATAAATATGAAACAAAGTTGTTTTACCCTGACTTCCCTGGCTGCCTCATCAAGGTCCTCATCAAGTGAAATACTGTGAGGAGCCAATGTAACCTGAGAACACAAAAGAGTAGAAATTGCTTAAAAAGGATGGGATGCAAAGTGAAATGGTTAAGTGGATTCCGTGTAGAGAGGGTAGAAGAAAATTCTCAATGATAAAATGTGAAGAAATACATTGTTAGATGTGGCATTGCAAAAGAAAATAATAGGGTTAGCAAATAGAAGCAACCCTATTGTATTACATAGCTCATTAATCTGTCCAAAGATGGTTAACACAGTAGAAAATATTGAATAACAAACCCGTGTAGGCTCAAAATTACCTCATTAACAATTCACAAAAAAAATAAAAAAAAATAAAAAAAAAATAAAAATAAAAATGCACTGTATGTAGGGTTTTTTAGAAGCAAATTTGTGACGTTTATTGGAAAAATTATTTTGTGCGGACATTGAACGTCGTCCAGAGACCAACTAGAATGCGCCACGTCACCCCTTAGCTCGATACCGTGGCTCGGTACTGCTCGGTACCGCAGCTCGTTACCAATGACATGACTGCACCTAATTCACCTCCGGACGTAGAGCTGTGTCCCTCTGCACAAAATAATTTCCCGGTTTACTAAGTCACAATCCACAAGGAAAATTTTGAAGTATATCATTCGAATACAATTTGAGAATAAATGAGAAGGAACACGTCATGGTCAATGGTAGCAATGGCATTAAGCTCTTTTGATGATAAATTTTTCCTACAATAATGAAAAGAGTCATCCAATTATGATACAAAATAACTATAATTTACAAAATCATATTTTTTTATAGTAGAATAACAAATTAATAATACTTTTTTCATGATATTTTTTTTAAAGAATAGGAATAATATTAAAATTCTCTTCATATGCACTACATCAACTTGCAAGATAACCAAGAAGATGAGAATAAAACGACACATTTCATGAAGTGCTAACCATGAAACGTATCATACAAATCAAACAATGGGCAACAAAAATGTGAAAAAAAAGGGAAGAAAGGCAAGAGCTACAAGAAGAAGGTTAAACACAACACATGATAAATAGCTAATGGGCTGGACAGCTTAAATTTTCCCATCAATAGGGTAGAGCTTAATTATTAAAATATCAGAATGTTGAACTTTAATAGTTTAGAAACCCTAGGATCCACCCGTTCAAGTTTTTGTTATGGGGATTTGGATACATACCACAATTTCTTATATATTTATGTGTCTAACATCTAAATTTGTATATTTACTTATAGCACTTCAATGATTTAATCACATCAAAACATATGCATGAAAAATTGTATCTGTAGTAAAAACAGCAAGCTAACAAGTAGAAAACTGTAGGAATTTGAAGATAGGGATTTTATTAATACTTCAATAATAATGAAAGATACAATTGATCTACTATTTGAGAGGTAGATTGGCTCTCCCACAAACCTTAGATGCCACTAGGAAACTCAACAAGAAAAAAGCTACAGCAGAAATAAATTACATAAACTCAAAATAATAACATAATTAGTCCTAAATATGCTCCCCTAATTCCCTCCAAAATTAGCCTACTTTCCCCAAATGATTCCCTCTCCAATTTGAATTCAATTTGGATCTCCTTTCCTGTATAATTCCCTCCCAATTTTAATTAAAACATTTCTAAATATCTCTCCCTCTATTTCTCCTCCTTCCATAATTGAATTAATGCTCTCTTGTGCCTCATAAGAGGAGCTGAAATCCCCTCCCTATTCCTACCCAGCTTTTCTGCTGTGTTCGATTCTTTTGAACCAAGTGGATGGCTCCCGCTTGTAGATGGAGCCGACGTAACAATATCCACTTCACAAAAATTAATATTAGTATTTTTTATATGATCTAAAGATTTATATGTTAAATAAATAAATACTTAAGATATATGTGGTTCGCATGTAAATCCCCCTCTTATTATTTATACTAGAACATGCATCATAAATAAGAACCAAATAAAAATGATGTATGCTGAAATAGATGAGATAAATCAAAATATGTATGAAGCTGATAAAAGCACATACTTCCCTAAGTCGAGGTAAAGTGGCATCGATCTCCTTGGCCGCAACACTGTATAGGTACTTATATAACTTCTTCATAACTTTTATAAATAAAGATAGTATCTGCTCCCTTTCTAACTTCATCTCCTCCTGCAGTTTATAATAGTCCAAAATTGGAAAGCTGAATGTTAATGAATGTTCAGTTTTTTGAATTTTTTGTCAAAATAGTTATGAAATGAATAAATGAATCATAAATCATTACAAGTGATCATAACATTCTGTAAAATAAATATAAAAACTAACCTTTATATGTGTAATGTCTTGGTTTTGCATGCCTATGCAAAACAAAACAGAGGCTTGTACAGGAGATAAAGTGACAGGGAGCTCACCTTGGAAGAAGTGATATGCAAGGACTGGCACAAGATCAAGAATCTACATAATGCAGCACTTAGAAATAAATGTCTAGTAACCAACAAAATATGATAGTAATATTATTACACGACAAGAAACATATATGATGAATTAATCAATACAAGCTAGAAAACAAATTAACTTTTTATGAAGAGTATGTGCATCTGGAAAAGGCAAATTAAGTTGCTCATCCCACCTGGTAATGTAGTAAAAATAGAAGTGTTTCAGGAAGAAAACAAAGAGAATTCATCTGTAAAAATGCCATTACTGTTGATTTTTCTAAAGGTCACTATATAGTAAGAATGTTCACTAGGACGCATTTGGCGATCACAGCAAATAGCCTAAGCAAGTGAGCCTCACCTCAATGTCATGATCTGAGAGATTTTTTTATGAAAATAAAATGTTTACCCCAAAATTGGGGTTAATTAAATCCAAAGCATGATTAAACATATCATCGAAATTGGACGGAGTGGTTCGAATTGATTAGCCAGTGAGTCTGATTGCGAAATTAAAACCCACAAGGCATCAAAATAAGGACTGAAAAGGATCGAATAATTACTATGGAAAACTAAGATTAATGAAGAGCCTTCATTAAGCCTTATTAACTTTATTCATTGAGCTAATTGATCAATTGCGTTAAGTAAAGCCTGAATTCCCAAGATTTGGCCCTTAATTATAATACTTATGCATAAATTGGTTTCAAACATGCTTCATTAACATAATTAAGGCCTTAAAAATGAGATCATTTTGGTTGCACCATTAAAAAAATAACGAAAAATTAAGTGTAGTTCAAATGACAGAAGATTTGCGAAGGATCTAATCAGAATTTAAAAAAAAAATGAAAGAAAGCTTGAGTCGAAACCTAGCAACGAAACCCTGCAGCACCTTCGACACTACATTCGGATTCGACTTCCAGTTACCACCAGCAGCTTCAACCCAACACTCGATTCGCCTTCCAGCCTCCGCCCGTAGCTTCGACCCCTAGCGTCCATCCCGCAGCACAGCGCAGACGAATCCAACTCGATCCCGTAGAGCTGGTGAATATGAACGTCAATCTTGAACGTCGACCCCACTACCTAATCAAAATCAGTTCGAGTCCTAGCGTCGATCCCATAGTGTAATCAAACCCCAGCGGCGAATTCGAGCGTCGATCCTGTAACGACATTGAATTAAAATTAAAAATATTACATCTAATAAATAATTTTTTTAAAACATAACTTGAAAATTTTATTTAATAAATAATAAATTACAAAATAATTAAATACTCCTAATTTTAACACCATTAAGTCAAACATCTATTCATTTGGATGTTGGGGCCAAAATTATCTAATTTTAATAAGTTGAGGGACCAAAATAGTCCCTCAAAATAGTTGAGCTAAAGAGTTGATTGACGGATTTAGTCATTTTCTCATTATAGCCTCTACATCAAAGCTCCTCTCACTTATGATTCCAGAGAAAGCCACAACAAACTCATCTTGACCCATGTCTTCCTAAGTAAGAGCATCCCCTCAACTATCTCCCTCTATATATACCTTTTACAACTTTCTCACAAAAAAGAATAATTTCCAAGTGGGAGTGTATAAGAGCAAGTTAATGAAAGTCAGCAATGAAGAACAATCCCTCAAAAATTCTCTTTAACTATATCTCTCTGTGAAAAAACACTTTTGTAAATCATGCTGCACTTCACCATGGTAATTTTAGTAGTGTCTTATGACCTTTCCCATGACATAAACCATGGTGAGCTTCACTATGGCATCTATTCACTACAGAAAAACTAGTGATTTGCTGCGGATTTGCGGCGAGCTTTGCGACATAAAATTTTCCAATAAAATTGTGGTAGATTAGAGGTAGAAATTTTCGTCACATATTTTTGATGGAATTGCGGCGGAAAATTCACACAAATTCCTCACAAATAAATTTATCTAAACTGATATCCAAATCATTTCTTTCATTCGCTCGAGCTTTGTCTGTTTCTCCGTGCCCGCGTCCGCAACGACTACCCTTGCTCGCTGACGTTCCTAGCTCGCGACCCATCCTCTTTTCACTGACGTTTCCTGTTCTTCATGGTTGTTCAACTTCGCTCCTTCGACAATATCCTTCTTGTTAGAACAAGATCGGAAGCCACAACGGGAGCTCGCTCGTTTTGAAGGTAACTTTCTCCCTTTCGTGCAGTTCTTCTACCAAATCCCTTAAATCCGCCAAATTATAGGGTTTACTAAATTTGGGATTTGCGGCAAAAAGAGGGAAATGGAGGTTTTGTGCGCCGTGAGCTAAGCCGAGTTTTTCTTTGGGAGGATTTACGCTAAATCTTGCTCAAATCCGGTGTTGTCTTCAATTTGGCGATTTAATTGTTGAAGTCAAGCTTTTCTATTTTGCGCTCGTTCTTCATAACAGCCATGGATAACTTCAATTGGCTGACTTCACTAAACAACTTCATTATTTCAAGAACACCACTTCAAGAAGATAAGTGGGAGTGATGGGGACATCAGAGCATGGAAGGTTTATCAGAGGCGTGGCCGACGATCTACGGCCACGATCGAGTCATTGTATTTTTGATTTATTTATGTTATTTTTTTATTGATGTATTTTTTATTTTCAGTGTCGTGCATTTGTTTTATGAGATTTCAAATTGTACCCTTTTAGTGAGGGATGTCGTATGTAAGCCCCGAGGGCATTCTCGTCTTTTATTTCTTGAGTCTCATGTAATAGGCTATTTATAACCCCTTGTTTTATTTTTCAAGTAATGAATGATTGATTACAAAATTTCTACCTTGCATGAGTTCTTGTGAGAGCTTGAGAGTTTGAATGGAGAAAAATCCCTAGGAGAGGGAGATCGGATCACCAACCAACCTTGGAGACGGCCGAGTTCGTGGTCTTCTTTTTTATCTTTTGTCCTTCCCCTTCCACCTCCACTATTGAACAACTTTGCATCAAAACCGCCCCCATCTCCAAGTCATCGTATCCTCCTAACCGAGCTCCACAAATTTCCCCCCCACAAGCTGTCGGCCACCATACCCGAAATCCCCTATGCCACCGGCCCTAGCTCCCTAACCGCCGACCATCCCCCACTTCCCTTCTCCCTTGAGTTTCCTAATTGGGTTAAGGTTTAGTTTAGGATAATTTTGAAATTCAAAATCATTGGAATTTGAATTCAAAATATTTCCTAATTTAACTCCTCTATTTTAGGAAAGTTTCTAAACTCATCCTATTTGAATTTAAAATTTAAATTGGATGTAATTTAACTTTCCTAATTCCTAAATCCAAAATAGGAACCCCCAATTAATTGCCCTCAACTTCCTCTCCACCTTGGATGTCACTAGCCCCTCTCTCCCTATCCCATTAATGCTCATTTAATTTTTTCCTAAATCCAATCCCTCACTTAGGAAATAATTTCAAATCCCCTATCTTCTTAGCCGAAATTTCCAAAGCTCCTACACCTCTTTATTTCTTTCCAAAATCAATCCTTGCAATTTGGAAACAAACTCCCTTCTCCCCCCATCATTGCCGTCAGCCTCCCCCTCTATACCCGCCCCTTCTCTCTCTCCAATCTCCTCCTCCTCTCATTAACTCTCCACCGGAATTTAAGACTTAATTTTTTCTCTCTTAATTTCCTCACCTCTATTTACAAAAATCTGAAACTTATTTCAGATTTTTGTCTTGGCTCTTCCCTCTTTCAAGTTGCAAGAGAAACCTCTTTCTCTTCAACAATATTCAAGAGCACTATCAAGTCGTGAAGAGATTCGTCACCTAGCATCTATGAATGGCGGATCCAGAAACTGAATACGGCCTAACCTACGACGAGGACGGGTTCGTAGACATTCTCCAGTCAACTTTCTTTAACGTTAACACAAGGGTTGATCATAACGGTGAAGATTACATAGAGCGTATTCTGGACACTTAGGTGGAAGCAATTGAAGAGCAGTTCGAAGGCGCGAGTGGAGGATCTCCACTGATCCTTGAAAAAAGGTTCTACTTTCCCCTTTCAACATACTTCTTGACTATAACTTTATCTTGTGTTTGATTGTAGACTGTAGTCACGAAGGATGCTACCTCCTGATTCTGCTAAGCTTAGTAAACGTAGGGTTTTGAGTGTACTTCTTTGTTTACTAATTCTCATTATTAAATTAGGGATTTTTATTAAAACTACTACTCTGGCATAACATTGTTTTCTATTTCATTTCGAAAGTTTCAAATCTATGGTTATAGGATTTAGCCTAAGCGGGCGTGACCCCTTGTTCGTTTTATTTCGTTGTTTAAGCTGCTATTAGTTTCTTCATTTTTTTATTCTAATCAAGGGTTGTGCAAATTCTAATCAAAATCATTGCATCCTCACGTAGTCCTACATCAGGGAGAAGTATAAGAAGCACTATGAACATTATGGGAATAATCTCTGAGAGTTGAAGCCGACATCTTCTGATGAGGACATCGTTAGAGATTTCGACACATGTACCTTCAGGAGACGCCGGAGATCGACGACCACGATCATGAGTTTTATTTTGAGTCATTTTATGTTATTTGATTTTTATGTTTTTCCATTTTTGCCCTTATGGGTATTTGGTCGTCATTGTAGCCCGAGGGACATTTTAGTCTTTTGCTTTCTTTGTCATTTTGAGGCCTATTTATATGGCCCTTTCTTATGTAATAGTTTAGTTTTTGGATAAAATGAAAATTATTTTGTGTTCTCTTTGTGAGTGCATCCTCTCTCTCAAATCTCTTAGTGAGTTTTGAGAAGAGCTAGATCTCTTTGTGAGTTCTAGACCTTCTTCTAGCTTATTTTGTGGTCAAGTAGTGTGAGAACTCAACGGAATTTCATCCGGATTATATTTTCTCTGAAATTTCCTCCCCACAACCTTTCCACTCAGCAATCCCGCCACCCCGTACTGTCCAGCCGCCGACCAGCAGCTGTCCCGCCCCTAGCCAACCTGCATCCTTGCCGCCGCCCACTCCAAGCAGCTCAAAGCCGCCGCCCACCCTGCATCCATCTCCCGCCGGCCAGCTCAGCCACCGTCGGCCAACCTCCCACCGACCTCCCGCCGACCAGCCACCCGCCGGCCACCACCACTCCTCCCTCTCTCTCCCCTATCAATTCTCTTTTAATACCCCTTTAATGCTTCCCCCCTAAATTAATTTCAATTTCAAATTTTGAAAACTGAAATTAATCTCTCCACCAATTTCAAAAATCTGAAATAAACTTCAGATTTTGTGCTTCTTCCCCCATAGCCTCATCCGCCCCTGTTTCCCTCAAACCCGTGAACCCATCCCTCTCTCCCTAGCTCACGGCTAGCCCTTCCACCTCCCCAAAATTTCAGATCTCCTGCATTTGCCTCTTAACCCCACCATAGCCGACTTGCCCCTCCTCTTTTGCTTCAACAAGTGGTTGGCTCAAGGGTTCAAGAAGAGAGTTCTCCACATCCATGGACGGCCGATCCCGACATCAACCACGGCTTCGTCTTTGATGATCAAGGAAGAAAGGATAAGACGTTGGATGCTCTCTAGTCATCCCATGGACTGCCAGCCACCGACTCCCACTCCAACGGACTACACTTTGTGCGCCATTTGTCTCCTAGTGGCATCGCTCGGTTGCTCTCAATCTTCCTCCATTAAAAGTGCCACCACAAGAGAGTGAGTGAGAGACCCAAGGTGAAAAGTTCTATTTGTTAATTGTGGATTATTGTTTCTCTCCATAACATTACTATCTAATTCTATGTTGCCAATTTGATATTGTCCCATTAATCTAGTTGTAACCACATGCCTTACTTAATTTCGACTAGTTAATTCCGAGAACTTAATTTGGGTAAGCATTAATTCTATAATTAGCAAAGCTTTAACAATCTTATATTAAAATCCCCAAGCAGTTCTTGTTCCATTGCATGTTGTATCACATCATCTTCCCTTCATCAATGTCGGCCTAGCAAATTTCTTCAATGTTTCTAACACTAGGCTAACTAAGTTCAAGGAACTCTAGGGATCCTTCTTCGTAACCAGCTCGACCAGAGGGTAGGCTAATAGTGGAAGGATTTCATTAAGAAACTTGAAACAGGCTCTTGAAAAGATCTAGGTAAATTTTTTACCAAGGTGTTGAAGTCATACTCTCGGTTGCTTTTTGCCCTATTTCAATGCTTAGCGACTTCAATTATTGCAGCTAAAAGGCAATTGTACGGCTTCAGCTCTCCATAAGTGGATGAGGAATATCAGTCTCTGACAAAACAACAACCTAGCTGATTTATGCTCTTTCAACAAGAAATTCTTGATGAGTAGGAGGCTCAATAAGGGTATCTTATTTAAGAGCTTGCTCATAAAAAAAAAAAAAACTACATTAAAAAGTGCTCAATATAATAAAATATGTATAATTTATAAAGTTAATTTTTTGATTAAAAAATATCAATTTTTATCTTCTCTCCCAATTTCAACTTCAACTTGAGTGATAGCAGCCATTATCGGAGCAATATCTTTCTCCATAACAGCAGGAGAGGAAGTGACTTCAGCCGGTGTTTGTAGATGTCAGAATTGTTTTCTTCAAAAGTATAGGATTAAGAAGAAATTTTGGAACACCAGGAAGTTTAGTTCGAATTTATTCAAACATCTCTTTCATTCTGCCGGAAGGTGTCCTTCTCCGTACATCGAGTTGTCTTCATACCTGACATACTTTGCAGCATCTCAATCACCATTGTTGTAGGTGATATCCATACTTGTATAGTTGTATCCACAAGGGTTCGATGTAGTTGTTATCCACAAGTGGCTCGTATATTTACGGGGGCCCGCTGTATTCACAACGACCTCCTGGAAGCATTCGTATGAGAGTCATTATTCTTGCATCATATCCACCTTTCACCAATCTCAGGTGGATTTGATGATTGCACTTGTTTGTAGGGGCGGGTCTTCCACTATCAAGTGCTAGTATTGTCATCTAAATCTACAGGCATAGTTGCTTGTGTTGTAGATCTCAATAGCGCATACAGGACACACATATGCATTATGCAACCATTTGTTGTTCTTGCAGGTACGATGCACTTGATCTCGTGGAGACTGTTGTAAGAGCCCACTAAATTCTTTGTTCGTACGCATTGAGGTCTGAGGTATGTAATTTTTTTTTTTTTGGTTATTACATAGAGGTTAACACCCACTAAATTCTTTGTTCGTACGCATTGAGGTCTTGTAGTGTGCCTGCTTGTACCTTGATGATGTTGGTTACGAGGATATTGCAATATCCTTCCTACAAGAGCTCGTGAGTGTTTGTATTTGTCGCATCTTAGTCACATTCATTTGCAAGGATTAATGTAAATGCCACACATCATTCCTCGTGTATGCTAAGTTTGATATCTTTATTCATTTGCATCCCAATTGAGATGATTGTTACAAGTTAATCAATGCCAAAATTTGTAACCAATTCATGCATGGGTCCCTTATTCGTTCGAGCTTGAGTCCGAAAGGCTCAAGTCACACTTGCTTAGATTTAAGCTCAAGTTCAAATTTTAACTTGTTTCATTTAGATTCAAGTATTTTATTAATCATTTGAGTTGGTTCTGTGTCATTTTCAAGTTTGAGTTCTATCAAGTCAGACAACTACAAGGGAGCCGAAGAAGGGAAGTCGTAGAAGGTGCAAAGTCGGACAACTACAAGGGAGCCGAAGAAGCGCTCAGATAGGAAGAAAGTTACCCTCACAGTCGGCGAGCTCCAGTTGCCTACGCCAAAATGTCGTAACTTCTGATCCGACCACAAGGGAAGTTGGAGATGGGGCAGAGTCGAACAGCGACGATGGGGTCGGAGGACTCGAGAGGGAGAAAGTTTCCTTCACAGCAAGCGGGCGCCTGTCGTTGCTTCCGATACAGATGTTGTAACTTCCAGTTCGGTAGGAAAGGAAAATCGTCAAAGGAGCGAAGTCGCCCAGCCACGAAAAGCCGAAGAAGCGGGGTGAGGGTAAGGCGTCTAAGTTACCTCACCCTTTTGTCTAAGGTACCTCACCCTTTTGTCTAAGGCACCTCACCCTTTTTAGAGTAAACCATTGTTTGCTCCTATAAACTTGAATCAACCATATTATGCCTTAAGCCATCGTAAGTCACATCCAGTACCTCAAAACCATAATTGGCCATGTTTCATGCCTTTAAGCCATTTAGCCTTTCTAGTACGATATGCTCTATACCAAGAAAGAGAACCTAAGTTCTACCTAGAGTGGTAATGCGCTAGCCCTTACCTGACACATGGAGCAAATGCTTCCTGTTTTCCATTCAGAAATAGCTCGGACAATGTCACACTATAAACTTTATGCAGGCTAACCTCAATCTCTAATGTCAATATCAAGATTTTCTCAATCAGCTAGGAGTTAAGGTTCTAAATTGCCAAACCCTTGAGCTATAACTATAAGGCTTACTAACCAAACTATAACCCTTTAAACTTTAGTCATTGGTAGGCTCCTTGAATTTAGGCAACGCATGCCTGTTAATAAGGGTGTTTTCATGCATAGCTACAGCTCGTTAACTGTGCTAAAAGTCATAGTTAGGCAGGCTCTCTCACCTAATGCCCATGGTTACAGTACAAATTTCCTTACTTAAAAGCTATATTTTTGCTGAACAAGGACTATGAACTAGTATACCATAATTCATCCACCCAACCATTCCCCCTAACATAAAACCAAGGGTAAAATTGACCCCAGTTGATCTCTTTAATAAATAGTACTCTCTTGTGATCGAGAGATATAATTAATTAAAGGAGCTTGTTGTTAAGAAATGACCTTATCTAAGTTACTCATTCGGCCTTAGTAGCTTAACAAGGCTTCCTAAAATACTCCAGGGAATTCTAGAGCCCTCTAGAAGTTTCTTCATTCTAGCATGATCTGGATCATGGAGAAGGTTCTGGAGTCTTTAGGGCCTTAGGTTTGCTATGGTTAACGTCCTCAAGATGGCAAAGTGTGACATTGCGCCCAGGAAAAAATCTTAAACCTTCATCTAAACAATCCCTACCCCACAACATGGAAATTTTATTTAGAATCAAATCAAATCTACTCATAGAGAAAAACAGACTAAGCAAATAATTTTTGCAAGGAAATTTATGATTTTCATAGAAATGGTAACTAGAAAATGGTCAAGCCAACCGAAGACCTAGCATATGCTTCTAGATAGAAAACCAAACGGAACAAGCAAGAAAGAAAAGATGCTGAGCAATCAGACAAAAGAAAGAGATAAAGCATCATAGCAAGGTATTTCAGAATGAACAAATAAATCCCATTCCTGTTGACAAAAAACTCGTACCATGTGATAGTCAACACAGTTGTTTGTGTATGCCTCCAACCTCTTCATATCAAAAGGAGACAATAGGTTCCCTAGTGACTGTGTACTTCCGTTATTTGATGCATCTTTATGATCAGTAAAGTTTATCTTTGAAGCCAAAATGCTAGGGGACAGTACAATGAATCATAACAGAAGGATATGAAAGAAGCAATCTGTTGAAAATTCTATAGACTAACCTCATTGCAAGTTTATAATCAAGGGTTTGGAAAGTGGTGCCGAGAAGTCGGCTAAATCTTCTGCGGAAATCTGCATTGAATCCAATCAGCTGACTTCATTGTCAATAATCAAAGAAAAAGGCTGAAAAGAAGGCAACTTAGCAACTAACCTTGATAAAATGGTTCAAGAAAACCACATTGACTAGAACCATCAACTTCAATTTCATCATTTTTCAGTGACCTTAAAACCATGCAGGTATGTTCACCAGTCACAGCATTCTGGTCAAAGAAGAAAACAGAGGCTAATTACATAAATATTAAAAGGTTTCAAATTGATAAATAAACATGCATGGAGATGTAGCATTTATTAACTGGTATCTGGCCTATATAAAAGGGAGTGAAGTTGTGTTTCCTCCAAAATCGAAAAAGATCACGAGTAAGCCCAAAAGAAACACCAATATAATGGAGCTTTTCAGGATGTCGCTCACGAAGATGAGCAAGAAGGGGAGGAAGGTTAGCTCTAGGCATTATGTTCTCTTCCAGCAAGGATACCTGCAAATATATTTCCATACAATCAGATACCACTTAAAAAAAAAAAAAATCAAACACTGATGTGCACATGTTGTCAAAACAAGGTGGTGAGCAAACATATAATTTATAGGAGGGAAAATTCTTAACAGATTCAACTCTAATCAACTGCACAATTGACATGTATAATTTTAGTGCACTAATTAGGAAAAGCGATGTGTTAGAGAAATTTTGTCATCCTCAACGGATTGCATATTTTGCGATCGATTGAGCATAGAAAGGTGATATATTGTCCCGAAGGACAAAAATATCATTTTCTTATGCACTCAATAACAAAATTTACAATTTTAATTTTCACAGAGATTTTACACCATTCAATATTTGGTTCAATAAGGTTTATTTTATTCTGGGGTACGGGTGCCCTGCCCCTATGGTTAATTACATCTTAAGCATTTAGTACTTGAGAAAACTTTTGATTAAACTAGTAATTTCTTTCCTTTTAAAAGTCATCAAAATATTGGATAAAGTTTTTATTTTAAAATTCTTGAAATTCTTGTTTAAAGATTTTTTGTTGTTAGGAATTTCAAAGGAAGAGGAGGATCAACTTTGATTGGAGTTCTTGGAATGAGAGCCAAAGGGAGGAAAAGTAGGAGAACTCAATTCTAAGGGGAACCTCAAAGGTACTAAAAACTATCCTATATTAGGCTTTACATTTTAGAATATAATTTTTTATTTAAGTTGACATCTTAATTTAGAATGTTGGGGGTTATAGTCCAACAACATATGTTGAAGGAAATGTCCAGAATATGAGGACTTATGAAATGATCGAAATCAACATGTGTCTCGGATCCTATAACTTAGGTGAGGACTACTGAGAGGTAGTGCATCAAACTTAAATCTAATGGAGTGCAAGGGACTTACAAACTACACCTCAGTTGAACACTTAAAGGATAGGATTTACAACTTGACTTTGAGGCCAAGATGTTTGACTGTGAATGATATACAAAATGTTGAGTCACAAATGCAGATTTTTTGTTATATGATTCTTTTGTGGAAGCTTTTCTACATGAGACTCATTGGGCTATGCATGATCATTTTTAATTTTGAAAAAACTTAGCTCATTGAAGGAAGCCATGTAATTTTTATTTTTATTTGAAAAACATGAAGTCTAAAATTGATTTTAAGTAGTTTACAATTTAATGGATAGAAAATTGTATATATGTTAATGTCACATTAAATATTATAGTTTCCTTTGTTTTAAACCCCAATAAAAAATAAAAAGAAAAATCTCACCTTCGTTACTCTCTTTTTTTTCCCACCAAAATCTTTTCATATCTCACTCAACTCCCACTCAAATATACAAATGGAAGAGGAATGAAAAGCATGCATTAATTAAACATCTCAAAAAAGATATTGACAGCAAAATTTTTGACAAAAATAAGAACAATTATAACCCTAAAAATAAGTGGAACACATGAAGTATGTAAGCTATTGCAGAATTATCATCTCAGAGAGCATATGCCAGCAATCTAAATGAGCAAAATTAGCAAACCTTTTGAGCTGCTTCAACAACTTTAACTTGAGGTTCTATAATCTCCTCAACATCTTCCTCACTAAAATGTGACAACTGCCCTTCATAGTACCTGAATATATATCAGTCATGTAAGATACCTTATTTTTTTATATTACTTAACAACATGAGTTTAACTTGACATGAAACTTCCATCAATACAACTATACAAGATGACAATGAGTGGCGCAGCGAAAAGTGAAGAAAATGGCGAACTTTCAATATAAGATCTGTGAGAAAAAAATGAATATGTTGAAGAAGAATAACAATATAGAAAAGAAGAAGAAAAGGATTGAGATGATTAGAAGAATGAATGTTTTTAGAGAAGAGACAAGATATAAAAGAAACAAAGCTTGAAAAAAAATCATAGGATTCAGAAGAGGGAGAAATCAATCCCCAAAAGGGTTATCAAATTACATGATAAGGGCTACTATTTATAAAAAAAAGGGCTACTATTCATAATAATAACAATATATTCATGGACGTAAAACCCTACTGAAATTAGAATAATGATATGCATATCCAAAATGACAAATAACCAATTTATAAATGTTAAACTGATAAATAAAGACAAATTACATAAAAACAATTAAAGATGATTATTTTGACTAAAATAATATTCAATTAGATAACTAGACGTAAGCCTCCTATTGTATTACAACATACATATGAAAATGTTTCTATCCATTTAATATGTATATGATGAGTCTTCTTCTACCACAGATGTCTAAAGCACAATACTCAGGCATGCGTACCCATTCATGCTTTGAATGCATTTTCATATTCTTCATGACAAGGCTAAAATAACTACTAGTTTCTCTTAATTGCCAACATTTCAATGTCAAGCTTGATCCACCATAACCCTCGTTATGTTAAACGCACAAAATAGTCTGTCACAAGAGCTTAAAAGAAAGAATTACAAAAAGTTCTCCATATATATTTAGCTAATTAACACAGGAATGTAAGTGATCCAAGCAAACTTTCAAAATAGCTTTGAGCTGAGCATGAGCTAGCATTAGCTTTGCTTGCTGGCTCCAAGAGAAGACTTATTTAAATAACAACATAACAATTATCTCCTTTTGATTATGAATTCTGAAATTGGTGATACCACTGATAATAACCTCCTTTAAATACAATTCTCCGAATGAAAATAGAAAATATAACAGCAGCAACAACAGCAACAACAACATCAAGCCTTTGTCCCACCACGTGGGGTCGACTACGTGAATCCTTTTTCTCCATTGTGACCTGTTAAAAATCAAATTCTCGTTTAAATCTAATAAAGAAAGATCATTTCTAATATTTTCTAACCAAGTCTTTTAGGTCTACCTCCACCTTTCTTAACATAAGTCAAATCTAATACCTCTACTTTCCTAGCCGGGTCATCAGAAGGCCTCCGTTTTATGTGATCAAACCATCTAAGGAAACTCTCTCTAATCTTATCTTCCACTGGAGCTACTCCAACCTTTTCATGTATATGCACATTTCGTATCCTATCTCTAAAGGTAAAGCCACTCATCCACCTGAGCATCCTCATCTCTGCAACACTTAACTTAGTATTATGCTTCTCTTTTAATGGTCAACATTCGCCACCATAAAGCATTGCATGTCTCACCACTATCTTATAGAATTTTCCCTTAAGTTTGATGGGGACTTTTCTAAATATAAAATATGTTGAGTAAAAAATTTAAGAACATCTAAGGTGCAGGATAAAAAATATAAGTCCTTTCTCTAATGTTGATTTACAAAATCAATTATGATAACAATCGTGCTATGATGCACCGACACTTCTCCTGAAAGAGACGTGCAGTGCTCGACACATATCCGACACTCCTTCGACACGTGTCGGATACGGCGAAAATGAATCCGATTAAAAATTATTAAATACAAACTGGACACTGGTGTCCGACATGCGTATCTTAAATATTTTATGATTTTTTTAAAAATATAATTTCTTGTATTTAAAAATTTTACTTATTTAAAATATAAAAACTAAATTTCTTATTTCCTATCCATAATACCAAATCAATCGCTCACACTTAATACCCCATTCATCGAATATTCTCATTTTCATTTCTCTTTGGCAGTGAAGGTATTTTCATTTCTTCTCTTAATGACCGATAAACGACATCGACGTCCGACTCTTGACATCCTAATATTAATCATTTTAAGCACAAATTAGAGTTAAATGACTTATTTTTTCTAAATTATTTTTTAAAAAATTTTATACAATATTTTTAAAATAAAAAAACTATAATGCCGTATCCAACCTGTGTCCGTGTCCTATATTTTCAATAATTGACGTGTCATGTGTCTGTGCCGTGTCGTATCCGTGTCGCCGTGTCCGTGTCTGTGCATCATAACAACTGTGAAACGTAGCAATAAAATTTGAAATTTTGATTGGTTACATAAATTTGTTACAATAAAATTATATTTTTTTAAATAACTTTGATCATGAAACTGACATTAGAGAAACCATTCAATTATAAATGCATTGGTAGGGATCTACAAATAATACGGACGAGGGATGAAAATAGAAGTAAAATATGCAGACACTGCACATGAGAGAGGAACATAAAGTCAAATAATTTACATAAATTGAAATTCATAGGATTGTGATGAATAACGTAAAAATAGATTCAATCATACTAAGATAAAAAACATGAATGCCATGATAAAGATTAATAAGCTATTGATCGCCTAGTATGCCTCTAATTAGCATGATTAAAGGCTTAAAAATTGTTGAAAATAAAAAATCCCATGAATTGATGACTTAACAGAAACAACAAAAAATCATTTCAAGTATAATGACGGGATTGATTGATCATTCACTTCATTATTGTAGTCCCATATGTGGCAGAAAAAAGAAATGAAGACTTGCTCCAATATATGCATACAAATTTTATTATGTGTGGTTGATGGCCATTCAATATAATAATTTAACTCATTAGGAATTGTATAATTTCCTAATTTCTATATGCATTATTTATGTATAAATACCCATGGGATGGATAAACAATCCAAACTTTCTTACAACTTCTGTTCTATGTGATATATATGAGTGATTAGGGTCTTCTTTCTAACATTTACTTTTTGTTGGTGAATTTTTTGTTATCCTCAATGGATTGATTGAAATATTTTGTGATCAAATATGACATAGAAAATAAAAAATTATTTAGAAAGATAAAAATATTATTTCGCTATGAACTCAATAAAAAAAATCATAGTTTTAGAATTTTACTAGAGGCCTAAAATTTTTATCAAGAAGTTAAAAAATTATCAATTTAAAGTATATCAAGATAAGGCATGAAGATATATTAATTGAAATAAAATCATAACAAATCAAAACACTATTCTACAAAACAATAACAATCAACAAATAAATAAATATGATTCATATGAAATCTTCAATACAAGGAGCTGATTATGCAAAAGAGAAAAATATGGCCAGGAGACAAACAAGTATTAAGTAATGCTACAAAGTTTCTGTATCAAGAGACTACTTCATTTTCTAATTTAAGCAGTTTTATAATAAAATATGATAAGCATCACGCTTAGCATAAGGCAATTGAGATACTAACTACATTGGACATATTCAGCTCTAGATGTATTTTCACACTCAATATGCATTTATAGGTGAGCAATATCCTTGAAGTAAGCCACTTTAAAAGCGAACCTTGTTAGAAGATCAACTGCAGCAGAGCCATATCCCAGCTGTAACATCATAAAACAGATAGATGTTATAAACATGAAAATCGTGATAGTCAAGAGAAAATTCACAAATTTCTAGAGCACTTACCCTTAAGGCACTAGGATGGACAGCAATGCGAACAATTCTGGCTCCAGAAAGGCCTGGAAATACAGAGTCTTGGAATTGTTCACAGAATTTCCAAGGTATCTGATCACCAAAAGGTGAATGACCTTCACTTAAGCTTTTAATAGCTGACTTCTGTGAAATTTTTCCTTCGAGGCACACCTACAATAGGGCAGTATGATGCTAAAATAAATCAATCGTGGAAGAACAATAGAATATCTAAAAATTTCCGAAGAATTTCATTATAAACTATCAACAAAACAAAACAAATGATAAGTTTCCAAAAAAATAAAACAAAACAGTGTAAAGAACAAAATGACAACGTAAAATATGACAATCTAGAAGAAATTTTTGATAAGTAATAGATGAAATGTCTAGAAAAATTGATAAGTTGACATTTCAAATGAACCAAATAAGAAATCATAGGGAAGGAAAATCTCCTGGCATTCCTCCATCGTCAAAAGGACTCCAAAGAAAATCCAGCACATTAGAAAGCTACATCTCCTTCAGACACTTTAGCTGATTTAGCAGAGAATTGATTGCTGAAATACCTGTTAGAATATACCATCATAAGATGCACAGCCTTGATCTCCTAAGCCGATAAAAAATGTCCTCCCCAACCTGATAAAGCTAGCACCCTAGAGACCATAACCCAAAATTATAATACCCAAAATTTTGGTCCAAAAAGGTAAACATACAAATTTCCCCTATATTCTCTCACATATAAAAAGTATCAAAAATATTTTCATGAAATTTGATATTGAATTTCGAGTAATTTTGGTATCAATATATCTTAAATGTCTATGAATAGGTATCTTTTAAATAACTGTTTAGTATTATAGTTAATAATATAGTTAATGAATAACAATTAATTGACAACAATTTATTAATTGTTACTGTAGTCTCTACTAATCTTGACATGCATGGGCTGGATGGAGATCAGACGGCTAGAATGTTAGTGGAATTGTATTGGAGAATGCACTATCTTATAATAATATTATATATTACGGTAAAGCACTAGTAGACCTATAAGTCCCCTTCATTACTTTCATTTGCCCATCACCTGGAATTGAAGCAGTGGGCAAGCAAGCTGAGCAATAGTAAGAGGATTCGGCTGCTGGAAGTTGGAGAAACCAAGTGCTGAATCTACGATTAGTGTTGGACAAGCTGCATTTCAAGAATGCATAAATTGTGGATTTCTGTCACTCTTTTTGAATGCAGAATGTGAAAATCAGTAAGGATAATGGAGGAAAAGCTAAATGCATGTAAGGGTATTGTTGTTTATTGAAAGTAAGTAATAGTTACTGCTGCGATTTGCTGAAATAAAGGGGTTGTTGAAATTGGTTTGCTAAATGTATTACAGAAAGAGAAGTAAAGATGTTGTGTTGAATGAGGAAGTTTAGTGAAGGTTGTTTACAAAAGGAAAAGAAGAAAGAATGTGGGCTCCAAAAATTCGGCCCCGACATCCCCGCTGCGCTTTTCTTTTCTATTCGGCGAGGGAGTTTTAACGGATAAGTTCCGGGGTAAACTTTGGAAGGCAGATGGGTTTGTAGATAAGACACTACCCAGAGATTTCGCCCTCATTTTGCGAGGACTTTATGATCTGAGTTCTGGTTTCCTATAGGCGTAAGCCCCTATAGTTAATTACCCCTCCCGATCACGAGAGAGAACTTTCGATTAAGGCTAGTCGTCAATCAGATACGTAGAATATACATGCATCTGGCATATAGTAGTAGCAATGAGTTTGAGATTGGATAAGTCTGGATATTTGGATAGAGTTGATATTTAAAACAGAAATTGCACCATCTTGCACTTAAAGCGGATGGTGGGGGAATGAATGATAGACCCGATCAAGATCCCATGGTTCCGTCGTCCCGGGCCATCGTGTTCCCTGGTCTACTTAGTCAGAGGAGGTAGTCGACCCTACCTGACAGAAGGATCCTTGTCGGCAGCCATGGATTGCTTCGTCCAAGGGGACCTTCTAGACCTGGGTTGAATGTTTGTCTAGGGGACAAATTTGAATCCACCTTGGCTGACAGAGGGCTTTGTGCCCTATCGATCATATCCTATTGATTCATATCTCAAGGATTTGATGACAATAAGGAACGTATTGGCTCTGGCCATAACCGGTATTTCATGGTGCCATTTAGCGGCAAAACCACTCGGTTCAGAGGGCCCCGGGTCGTCATAACCGTTTATCCTGCGGTGCCATTTGGCGGCAGACTGCCGGTCAGAGGACACGTACCACGTCCTTACTAGCAGGAGATTATTTGAGAATGGATCCTATTGATATTTTCGACTAGGCATTTTGCTCTTTGTGAGCTGAAGTAAATTTTCATTTGTCCACCCCGACAAACTATTGCGGAGGGTGGATGAATTTTGCTTTAAGTAGATTGATGGATTCATTTCATTTTAAATAATTTGGCACTTTTGGGATTTTTTGGAGTTTAGAATTTGAGTGGACTTTTGGGAGGCATTTGAAAATGCTTGAAATTAACCCCTTCGGTTGAGATCAGCATTCAACACGGCCATCATCGGGGTGACCTCGAGGTCACTTGAAAAATATTTGAATTTTGTAGAAGTTTGAGGGCATTTTCAAATATTTTGTGAACCCCTCCGGTTGAGATCTACATTCAACACGGCCATCATCGGGGTGTGGGGTCATTCATTGATTAAACCTTGTCGACTCAGCCAAGCGGTTGACCGAGGATCTAGTTTATTGTAGGCTTTGTGCCTTTGCTTGTGAATTTTCTTGATTGTAGGCCTTGAAGGCCTAATATAAATGTATAAGATAAATATTCTGGTCGACTTCGTGACCGTATATTTATCCAATGGTTCGAACCCTGTCTACTCCTATTTGCTTTCTTAGGAGGATCGGGTTTATCGTAGGCTTTGTGCCTTTGATTAGTGAATTCTCTTGATTGTAGTCCTTAAAAGCCTAATATGAATGTATTAAATAAATACAACAATCTCCACAACCGTGTATTTGTTTAAAGGTTCAAACACTTTCGACTTCTATAGATCTGTATAGAAGGATCGGTTTTGAACTTGAATTCACTTATCGACCTGCGCAGCATCCCTAGACGTCACATGTGTATCAATAACATGCTCGTCGGGGCCCATACGGGTATTGATTGTATTTACCCCTTTAATGTATCTATATGTATACAATTTATGGTGCACGTGCAGGGGTTTCTTGAAAATATTTGTAGACGCCTTCTATCTGCTTGTATAAGTGTTGCAGATCCGGTGGGGGTATCGTTGTATATTGTAGCTTATGTCTGCTTGTATAAGTGTGCAGATCCGGTGGTGTCGTGATCTTGATGTTACGAGGCATCTCCTCATCTTGTTATTGTCTCTCCTTTCTTAATCACCGGGGATGGATTTTTTTTTTAACTTTGGAGTCAATGACTGCCGGTTTGGAAAGAACTCCTTTCAGGATCTTTGGTGTAAAGGACTTGTCATTTCTGGTATTTGTATATATCGGAGCTATTTTCTTCCTGAGTATAGGATCAAGAAGAGGCTTTGGAACACCAAGAAGTTTAGTTCTGATTTATTCAAAACACTTCTTTTCTTCTGCCAGGATGTGTCATTTTTCGTATATCGAGTTGCCCTTGTGCCCGATGTACTTGTAGATCTTGATCACCACTGTCATAGGTGATACCCATACTTGTGCCCACAGTGGTTCGTTGAGCTTACGATGTACTCATTGTTGTTATCCACAAGCAGCTCGTGTTTGTCTGTAGGGATCCGTTGTATTTGTTACGACCTTCTAGAGATGTTCGTTGAAGACCCACTGTTCCCACATCATGCCCACCTGTCACCAATCTCAGGTGGGTTGTTGATTGTACTTGTTTGTAAAGGCGGATCTTCGATTGTTGTTCTCCAGTATTTGTCATTTCAATCAACAGGTATTTGTAGGGATTGTCATAGGAGTTCGTTACACCTACTCATACATGTTTGCTAATAGCTGAAGCTTGATTATTTGTTAATCATTCAGTAGTCCATGTCATTTTATACTTTGTTTAGATTCAGTATCTAAACCCAGATTTGAATTTAGTTCATGTTCAAACCGATGTGCATGTTCAAATTGTAGATTGAGTTTGAGTAGAAGTTCAAGTCTCCTGAAGCCTTTAGAGATTCAAGTCTCTTGTGACCCAGTTGAGCTCAGGTTCTTTATTGTTCTCGTCAAGTTCGAGTTTCACTTAGACTTGAATTCATCTAATTTACAAGTCCCCATTTAATGTCGTATAGCCTGAGTTCAAGTGCAAGTTCAACTGCTTTGTTCGGATCCGGATCCAGTCCAAATCAAAGTCTTTGTTTGATGTTCTAGTCTTGTTCAAGTCCCCTGCAGTCCTTTGAATTTAATTGCATGCTCACATTTTGTTCAAAGTCTTTTGGAGTCCTTGTAAGTTCATTTTCATATTCAAATTGATTTGAATTTGGCTTCAATTTGATTTTATTTCGTTTGATTTTGACCCTTAAAAATCATTTAGAATTTTGTTCAAATTTAGGTCCACAAGTACACTGTTCTTCGTACAAGTCCTCCGCTCATTTAGTTCAATTTTCTGTGTATTTTTGTTCGAGTACATGTCTTCTACATTGTTGCCCAAGAAAGTCTTCTTATTGTTCAAGTCTTCGTACATTTCAGTGAAAATTTCGGCAGCACCCCAACATATCCCCCGTTTGGAGGAAAATAGGGGAGCTGGGCCTTCCCACCACGCTACTAGAGCATGTATGGTAGGTGTCCTTAGACACCACGGCCGTAGTAATTTTCATCCCATCACGCTACAAGAGCCTGTATGGCGCCTTCAGCAGTACCCGTACCAGAACAGCAGTGACGTACCAGAACAGCAGTGACTCCCCACCACGCTACAATAGCGTGTATAGGGCTTACCCACCTCGTCGTATGCGTCGCACCGGGCTCCCTCCTACCGTGCCACAAGAGCGCGTATAAGTGGTTCCCCGGTCCGCTGCTGATGTAGACAAAGGGGGGGTCAACACTAGTCCAAAATAAATCATAGTTTGGCTTCCCTTGAGTCTAGTAGTTCATCATATTTGAGCTAAACTTTTAGTTCATTTATGAGCTGAACTTTAGTTCATTTATTGAACTAAGGGTTAGCTCATTATGAGCTAACAATTTTAGTTCATATTTATCTTTA